GCATCAGCACTGGCGAGCTCTGAATCATGGTCCTTTCTTTCCCCAATGATTCTGCTGCCTCAGAGGTCTTTGGCTGTTCCTCTTGGGCCGTCTCCTTCATGCAAGATCTCGTCCTGTAGCTCCAGACCCTGTCCATCTCCTGTGCCACCATGACGCCTCCAGCGTTGTCACAGGCACACAGTCCACCACTTCTCAGTCCCTCCAGGTCTTCGGAGGGCTCCATACCCGTCTGCATGGGTCATCTTGCTGACTTTCGCCAATTGTAAGCTTAGGAATGGACACAGTGCAGGTTTTCTATGATCCAGCATACCGGGTAAAGGAGGAGTCAGAGCCCTCAGTGGCTTTTTGCAGACTTTTTATCAGGGTTTACCAGGCACACAGCAGGCAGGGGTACTGAGGGGCTGGGAGGCTGGCAGGCTCCCCAGCCCCCAGTAAGTCTTCACTCTATCTGGGCTCTCTGGCCTTCTCTGCTTCTCTCTCCGCTTCTGCTGGCGTCCCTGTGACATCGCCCTTAAAAAGCCCAGTTTTAACCCAGGTGAATCCCATCTACATCTGCCTGCACCCTATTCCAGGTGCCCGCCATCAGGCATGCATTCAGGACTGCAAGGATCCATCATCTATCCTGATGGCGGGAGGGCAGAAAAGCCTGACATTTTTTCCTTACCCTACACTGGGCTCTCTGGCGTTCTCTCTGCTTCTCTGGCGTTCTCTCTGCTTCTCTGCTTCTTCTCTCGGCTTCTGCTCATTCTTGACTTCTGCTGGCATCCCCGTGACGCCGCCCTTATAAACACAGTCTCTCAGCCCAGGTGTACCCACTTCAGGTGCCCGCCATCAAGCATGCATTCAGGACCACAGGGTTCCCTCATCTATTCTAATGGCGGGAGGGCAGAAAAGCCTGATATTTTTCCTTACCCTACAACCAGATAGTATTATTTTGGACCCAGCAGTATTATTTTGGACCAGATAACTCTCTATTGTTGCCAACATTGCTGAGAAAAGTCATCTGCTATGTTCAGTAGGCTCCCAGTCATCCTTTTTAACTTGAGCCTCATTCTCTCATCAATTTTCTTACTCAACTCCAGTTGATTTCCTTTCCCACATTCCATGGCGGTTGTTCCAAACTCTCCTATTCTGCTCAAACTCATGACTTCACCCTGCCCACCAGTTCCAAGAAGAGGAGGAAAGCAAACCAGTCTCAGCTGTAATAAGAGATTGCTTCCTTGTGTGATCACATTTACTTAAAACTTCTAGTTCCCATACAGGTCATCTCTAATTTCTCCAGGCTGTGGTGAATTCAAAGTAGGTTTACCTGTTTCCTTGGATCTAAGAGAAACAGTTTGGTATAGTAAAAAAAAAAAAAAAACATTAGATGGAGATACAAGGTCAGATTACTAGAACTAATTCTACTAATAACTCATGGTTGTTTTGGTGAGACTTTCAACCTATTCAGTTTCACAGATTTACTATCCACATAACAGGGAAAAAGTTGAATATTTCAACCCCTCATCCCCCACCAGAGGTTTTAGCTTACCTTTTCACATTGAGACCTTTAAGATTCTTCTTTTCTTTTAAGTTCATTAAGGAAAAGAATGATACCTCCATAGACACAGGCAAGCTGGTTTTCCAAAGCAAAAAGCAGATTGTGATAAATAACTGAGAATGATTATAAACTTAGGAGATGAGTGCAGTTATAGTTAATGATTCAGATATGGTATTTTTACTGGGGGCAGATCAATACCACAGTTCCTGATAACTCCTATGCAGCTATTAATATGACAAATGTTTTTTTTTTTTCTCTGTATCAGTTTATATCATCACAATCTTGACTCAGGGTTACATCAAAGCTACTCTCTCAGGGAGTCAGCAAGATGAGAGCAGAGTGAAAATGCCAGGTTCGCCTCCTGCTGGGGACTAAAGAATGATTGGAGAGACAGTTCTAGGGAAGCCACAGCCATGGTGAATAGACTGGTAATGAGGACACTCACTGAGATAGGAAATTCAAAGTAGTTGATTTAGCGCAGATTTGTATGAAGTTCAGTTGTAAACATAGAGTTGCGAACATCGTATTGAATTTCGATGCCTAATTTGATGACTGATGTGGTATTTATGAATGGGTTATGATTGATTTTGACCTCAATAGATTGCCATTATTTTATTATGGTTATTCTTTTTTCACAATGTTGATAAATGCGGAACTTGGTAACTGCTGAAAATAATGGCATCACCAATGCTTCTTATAAAAGCAATTATGTTCACTTATTCCCAATGTAGGGTAAGGAAAAATGTCAGGCTTTTCTGCCCTCCCGCCATCAGGATAGATGATAGATCCTTGCGGTCCTGCATGCATGCCTGATGGCGGCACCTGGAATAGGGTGTGGGCATAGGTAGATGGGATTCACCTGGGCTAAGACTGTGCTTTTTAAGGGCGGCGTCACTGGGACGCCAGCAGCAGCAGAAGCCGAAGAGAAGCCAGAAGCCGAGAGAGAAGCAAAGAAGCAGAAGCAGAGAACGCCAGAGAGCCCAGAGAGAGTGCAGATTTGCTGGGGGCTGGGAGAACTGCCAGCCTCCCGGCCCCCTAGCACCCCTGCCTGCCGTGTCCTGGATAAATCCCAATAAAAGACCTGCAAAAAACCACTGAGGACTCTGACTCCTCCTTCACCAGGTCTGCTGGATCAGAAAACCTGCACTGTGTTCATTCCTGCCTTTACACGCAATAAGGCAGATTATCTAGTGGAGGAGCACAGGCTAGCTGCTGAAAAAGACTTGTGGCCAAATAGAGCTGTAAGACTCAAGGCAGGCCTTAATAACCTCTTGGTTCTTGATTTACTGTTTATAAGTTGTTTCACCATACCTGCTTCAGAGATCAAGGAGGTAATGATTGCAGTAGTAGCACATTGTCAGGTTCACCGTCAGTGGTCAATAAGTTCATTTTGTTTAGCCCAATATGGAGAAGTATGAGGCACTTTGATGCTGTTTGAATACAATTTCTCAGAATTTTAAAAGCATTGTTCAAAAAGGAAACATATGAACTTAGTTCACTGGCAGTAAAGGTATCAGTGATGCAACACAGCAGGAGGTCACTGGATCTGCTATAGGCCCGAAGTGAAACAGGAAATTGGTGAATGGAGGTGAACACCCAAAAGGCTTACTTACATGTAAGTTCCACTATAAAAAGGGCAGTGAGTCAGGGAGAAGGGAGAAATGTAGGGAAAAGAAATATCACGTTAACCAAGAGTGTACAGAATCAATTTTCCCCATGGAAAACCAGAATGGTTAAAGAAATATTTTGGTAGAAAAAACATAATTTCATTACAGAGATTTTACTGTCGGTGAGTCTGCCTACCAAAAATTATAATGTATCAATTTACAATGTGAACCTTCAACATATAGACATACATATTGATGAGAATATTTAAATGCAGTCTTTCCAATCTTGAACATTTTTTGACATGCTTTCATCTTTATGCAATTTTGTCAAATAATATATAAATGCCCGTGTCTAATTCTGTGATTAATATTCCTGAGGTATGAAACAGATCTAAACACCTGAAATATCTAAAAGTCTACATATCTATAATACAAAGTGCTAGGATGTAGACTCCTAGCTTATCTTTATGGGTACCTACTTAATTCTCATTAGGGAATTGACTGCATTAGACTTCACCAAATTTTACAGAATGTCCACAAATCATTATTGGTGTTGAGAAAAATTCAATACAGTTCTTGCCCAAATATGTGTTAATAAGTAACAATCATGTTATTTAACAAGTAACCCTGATATATAGAAAATAAAAGTTACATCAGTACTTTTGGATTTATTTTCTTTTCATTTTGTGTAATTGCAATTAATTTACTGCAAACATTTGTATCTCACATAACCTGTAAATTTACAGGTTAAATATTGAACTGTAATCTGGCCTTTTTCAATGGTCCCATTGTTGCTATCTAACTTTATAAAAGAGGGTTTGATTTTTTTAATGTATTTTTTTTTTAAAGATTTATTTATTTATACAAGCACTAGGTACAGTCAGAAGCGTGGGAGGGTGAAAGAATTCACCAGAGCCACAGCGGGGAGCAGAGCAGGCAGAGGGACCGAGGTACACTGCTGAGGGGAGCAGCGGGCAGCAGGAGTAGGAGAGATCTCCGCGCCATATGGGACCCTCCTCTGGTGGCCGGGGAGCAGCCGGGGATCGAACCAGCGCTGCAGAGGCTGCGGGCAGCTTCACAACCCAGAGTTCAACCACTGCTCCACTGGGGAGGCCCAGAGAGTTTGATTTTTATATAGTGTTATTAAGAATATAAAACTGGTACAATGTCTGAAGATCAACTTGTTAATTCTGTTGATTTAAAATATGGCCTTTAATTAAGCAATTCCACCTCTAGAAACTTACACCTGTACAAAGTTGGCTAGGCTAGAATAATCAAAGCTACACTGTTCATCAACTGAAAACTGGCAACAAATGTCTGCAGGAAAGGATTATATGAGTTCTGCTGCATCTAGTTAATGGAGTCTCTGCAGCCATTAAAGTATACTGCTGCAGAAAGGCCTTTCAAGGAATACTAAGTTAAAAGAGAATAATAATAATGATTGTTATAAGTACTTGTAAAGTATGGACTATGTTCTAAGCATTTTACCTTTATTGGCTCATTTAATTCTCAACATAACCCTGTGATAACCCTACTGTTATCCCCATTTTATAGATGAGGAAACTGAAGCACAATAGCATCAAGTGACTTGCCCAACGTCACATAACTAGTGTCAGAGGCAGTGTCTGACTTGAGGATCAGCATTCTTACCTGGTTCTATACCAGTTAAGATATGTATAAAATATATGTATGCATGCATGTGTGCACATATGTACCTGATTATATGGATATATTTGCATGTACACAGAAAATGACTCTAAGCTTAGCCTACAGACTTAATAGTTGCTTTCTCTGAAGAATGATTTGTGGTAGTTTTATTTTTCTTGATAAACCATTTCACATATATTTACTTTTGTAAATAATCTGATATCAAAACGAAAACCAAAAATGGTCAATGAAGAATTCACACAGCTTAGGCAAGACTTGTCTTCTGAGCTTGAGAAAGATGTGGAAACTTTTCCTGAAGAAAGTTTTTTTTCTTTTTCTTTAAACTTTTCTTTCTTGTTTTGATGCGCATTTGTTTCTCAAGTTTCAGTCTGACAAAATGGTCCACATAGAGCATCGCAAAAAATTGTTTCCTATTGTATCTTTTATTTAGGTAACATGGTATAGACCACTGTTTGAACTTGTGCCATATGATTCTTCCCCCAGGTCTAGATTTTTCTTGACCAGTCTGAAGAAGTCTTACAGTATCTTCTTTTTCCTGAACAACTTTACTAATGCAGCCATAGAATCTATTACCTTTTCCAACCTCTCTGGACTTGGCATTGGCAAACTCTTCCTCTTGGCCTCCTGCTCCCGAGTCAGGAGCATGTTCCTTTCTTTCAGTAGCACATACCAAAGTTTATGTAAATCTTCATTTCTTTTGTTCCTTAATTGCTGACAGGTCCATGAAGCTCCAGATTTCACATTTTCTTGCCCCCAGTTCTTTGGGTCATCAAAAAATTCTTCCAGTCCTTTCCTGGACAATGTGGTATGAATTAATCTACACTGGTTAAAAGATGGGACATCAGTTGTATTCTTAGGCAACAAACTAAGAGAAAACCTGCAACCTGTGACACCGGGGACTTGAAGGCTTATTAACGACCTAGAAATCTTCAGAGAAGCTAAGACCCTTCTGCAAAGATTGGCTAAACTGGCGGCAGCCATTTTTTTGCTGTGGTAGTGTTTTGATAGGATGTAAATACTTGTATGTAGGACATTATTTTAATAACTTTTTTCAGAAAGGGTGTTTCTCAAAATATAACTTTATAGCTTTTTTTCCCTTGTGCTACTAGCAGTTAAAGAAATCGGTCATTTTCCTCATTGTTAAAAGTTAGACCATTCATTGATTCGCTCAGCAAAAACCTCTGCAAGGGGCTCGGTGTCCTTGCCTATCCCTGTCCTCAAAGAGTTCACTGTCTAGAGTTGCAAACTCACATGTAAACAAGTAATTTTAAAGCCTCTGTGTAAAGACACAGAAGCAGGAATCTACATTGTTTTTCAGGTAACTGGATTTGACTTAGCTGCAGTTTAGGGAGGGAAATGTGAGGAGTGCCTTTGGCTATGTGGGCAAGAGCACATCACCCAGCCCTTGCAGGCAATGTTAAGAACTTCAGAAAACTGTGCCAGTTTTTCCTAAGGAACATTAGAACATAGCTGTTCCCAGAATAACTCAAAAGATATAGATCAAAAGAATACATACAATAGAATATTGTCCAGCCTTACAAAGGAAGGAAATTCTGACAAGGTACATTGTGGATGAACCTTGAAAACATGCTCAGTGAAATGTCCAACCAAAAAAAGGACAAATATTGTATGATTTCACTTACATAACATACCTAGAATAGTCAAACTCATAGAAACAAAGTAGAATACTGGTTACTAGCAGGTGGGGATTAAGGAAGGATGGTAGGTACTATGGTTTAGTGGTTAGTTTTAGTTTGAGATGATGTAGTGCCAGTAAGGCACAGAGCAGGATGTCTATGATCCAAGCAGACAGATGAAGAAGGAGGAATCCTGGAGGCCTCGGTGGCTTTTAGGCTTTTATTGAGTTTACCAGGCACACAGCAGGCTGGGATGGGGGGCAGCCAGGAGGCTGGCAGGCCTCCCAGCACCCAGCAAGTCTTCACTCTTTCTGGACTCTCCTGCTGGTTCAGTTCAGTTCTCTTGCTTGTTCTCTTCTGGTGTTCTGCTGGTTCTGCTTCCGGTGATGCAGCCCTTAAAAACACAGTCTCAGCCCAGGTGTACCCACCTATGCCTGCCCACATCCTACTCCAGGTTTCCGCCATCAGGCATACACTTAGGGCCACAGGGATCATTAATCTAATGGCGGGAGGGTGGAAAAGCCTGATTCCTTTACTTACCCTACAGATGAAAAGATGGGTAGTGGCAAGAATTGCACAATGTGAGTGTACTTAATGGCATTGACTTGTTCACTAACAGGGTTAAAATGGTTTTTAGATGAAAAAGATTAAATAGTAAATTTTACATTATGTGTATTTTACCAGTTCAAAAAATATGGGAAAAGTAAAGAATTACTCAGTTTTTTCTTTCTTGTTATTAAAATTAAATGTCATCCCTTTGCTTAAGCTGATTCTAATTTGTTTTTGTAATACTAACTAGGCTACAATTTACTGAAAACTAGCTCTGGGTCAGCTTTACATCCGTAGATGAGATTCAGGCTCAGAGCCAAGCACACAGGAGGGGGAGGCATTAAGAAGAATCCTAGAACTATTGGGAACTCAAATCCCAACAGCTTGCTCTTGCAACAATTCCCAAATCATTTGGTTATCTTGCCACTTTTTTTTGGACATGTGGGCATTTATCTTGAATAATTCTCCTTTGAACTGCAAAGCTGTATTTGGTGTTTTCTGGGTTCATAAAAAATCTGAAAAGGCAGAGGCGGGACAGAATGAATGTTTGCTGGGTGTTTACCGCTAACCTACATCTGACACTTTCGAAAGACTTTGACCCTTGTGAGAGACCAAAAGAGTGTGCAAAATGAATCTAGATGCACGCACAGTATTAACTACCCACGTCAGCCACCTGTCACGGAGCAGTGGGCCCGCACTCGCACTCGGGGTGCAGTATTTATCAGGAGAATGCGATTTCCCAGCACTCGGGTGGCTCCTCTCCCGCGCCCGCTCTCTCTCTCTTTAAGATTTATTTTTATACAAGAACAGGGGTACAGGCCAGATGCTGGGAGGGCGAGAGGATTCACCAGAGACAGAGCGGGGAACAGAACAGGCAGATCTACTGAAATACACTGCTGAGGGAAGCAGCTGGCGCGACAGGAGAGGTCTGCCGCGCCATGTGGGATTCTCGCCAGCGGCCGGGACCGAACCCGCGCTGCAGAGACTGCGGCCAGCTTCCCAGTGCGGCGCTCAGCCGCCTGCGCCACCAGAGAGACCCTCGTCTCTTTACCTCGGTACGGAGCCGCGGAGACCCAGCACCGGCTGGCGCGCAGGCGCACTGCGCCGCGTCGCTCCGCGGCTGTGCCGCCGCTCCGGTATCCCCCCCCCACACCCCCGCCCCCGGCGCGGCTCCCCCCAACTCCGTTCCCCTTTCGCCCCAGAATCACGGTCACCGCTCCCCTTTTCCTAGGCCCTTTTCGCCCGAGCCCAGGTCCCGCCCGGGGCGGCCCCCTCTGACCCTCGGACGCCGAGTTACACAGTGCCCGAGCAAAGTCCCCGGGGGTGTGAACCCCGGTGTCCCGGCCCCTGGGCGGGGACGGCCGGCGGCGGTGCGGGACGCGGCGCGGCGAGCGCACACCCGGCTCAGCTGCCGACGCCAGCGCCGCGCGTCTCCCGGGGGCCGCCGCCGCTGTAGGCCCCGCGCCGCTCCCCTCATAGGCCGCCGCCGCCGCCTCAGCCATGGCGGAAGTTCATAGACGTCAGCATGCCCGGGTTAAAGGAGAAGCCCCCGCGAAAGCCTCCACACACAGACATGAGGAGGAGCTGGGGATGGCGTCGGCCGAAACGCTGACCGTGTTCCTGAAGCTGCTGGCCGCCGGCTTTTACGGCGTGAGCTCCTTCCTGATCGTGGTGGTCAACAAGAGCGTGCTCACCAACTACAGGTAGGGCCGGGGCGGCCGCGGCCGCGGGGAGCGGCGGGGGGCGGCGGCGCGCCGGCGCCCCGGACTTTGGCTGCCAAAGTTGAAGCCGAACAAAGTTGGGCGGGCGCTGGGGAGGGCGGGCGGCTGACGCGCGGGCCCGGGGCTGGGACTGGGCGCCCGGCGCGCGCCGCGGGCCGCGTGGGGAAAGCGCCCTTGGGTGCCGCGGGGAAGCGAAGTTGCTTCTTGACTTTTTGGCCCCCTGGCTTGCGAGGCAGCGGGGAGGCGAAGGAGGGGTGCCCGCCCGCACCCCACTGCCACCCGGGCCGGGCTCCCGGACTCGGGGTTCAGGCTTTCGCTGACAGCCTCTGGGGTCGTGTGCATCCTCACGCCCATTTAACAGGATTCGGATGCCAGCACTGGGACCCCGAGGCAGAAGCGTTTTGTTTGCAAGGTGTGAAACCGTTGCAGAGACCCGTGTCTTCATTTCCGTGCAAAACCGGTTGCAGGCAACCGACTGAAATTGTGGAATTAGACTAGATGGGACAAGTGGCCGCCGGAGGCTACAGGATCTGCAGTGTTACCTGACAACTGGCAGGGAGTTTGCTCACCGGTTTTCGTTTGGAAAAGGGGCGGCGGGTGGTGTGTTTTGTATTTAAGTGCATTTTTGTATCTAAGTGCATCTAAGTTGCTCATCTGCACATTTAATTCAGAGCTTCCACTGGGTTTTTCTGACCTTTTTTTTTTTTTTTTCCTTACTGTTTCTGTAGATTTCCCTCCTCACTATGTGTTGGACTTGGCCAGGTCAGTTGGAATCTTCAGCATTACGTGGTTTATGTCGTTAGAACTTCTGTGTGTGTCTTTATATGTAGAACAGTGAATCTGTGTTCTCTCTTCACAGATGGTGGCCACAGTGGCAGTTCTCTGGGTGGGAAAAGCGCTCAGAGTAGTCAACTTTCCTGACCTTGACAGAAATGTACCTCGAAAGGTAAAAAAATACAACAGAAACACTTTATATTCTGAAAATAAGTCACTGTGTATTAAAAAAAAAAATCAGTGCCTTGCATATTTAAAAATTGCAACCTTAAAACTGTTGGAACCAGAGAAGGTGTATAAAGGTGAAGAATAAATGTAATAGGTGTTTTTTTTTTTTTTAATCCCACAATCTCTTTGAAATGAAGAGAATAAAACCCTAGAAATCTTGTGTTTTCTTTTCATTCATGAACACTTGTTGGGAGTACAACAGTTTTGCATTTTCCAGATTCATCTAATCTAGTCATGTATTCTGCATTCATTATTTTTTGGGTTTATTTTTTTACTATTTTTGCTTCTGTTTGACTCTACATGAGGATAAATTGCCTTTTCTTTTTCTGCTGACATGAGTCATTATTGTTATCACATTTAAAACAAATGATAGTTCTCTCTTTGTGGCTTGATCAGATACATGTTTTTGTTTCTTTCCCCCCTTCATTTCTCCCTCTCTCTTTTTCCCCAAGTAGTGCTGTTTATCCAGGAATAATGTTTGGGTGCTTCCTGAGAACCAAAATTGTATATGAGAACTGATCTTATGTTGTGAGTGGAATGAATTTGAGCATATAAACAAAACTGTTTCTGTTTGAAAGGACCTTGTTTTAGCTGTCTTTATTATTGAGTTTTGTTATCCCTTTTTAAATTTTCTAGACGTTTCCACTACCTCTACTATATTTTGGGAACCAAATCACGGGACTGTTCAGCACAAAGAAACTGAAGTATGGATAACTTTATTTTACTAGTGAGGTTAATATAATGTATTCTTAAAATTGTATGTAAATGGCAAGTATTTAACATGGTGTTTTTGATTCTAGAAAATATGAAAGAACCAGTAAACTCCTGTTAGTAAATAATGGAGATTATGTAGTAATGAAGCTTAAGCTCTTTAAGTTCGAAGAGGAGGGTATTTTGTTTGTTTTCACTCCTCCCTTTGATGATACAAATCTTAGAATATTTTAAAATGCTTTGATAGGAGATTTTCATTCGTTTTCTAGATTAGTGGTAATGAATATATGCTAGACTTCTGGGATATCAGTTCTTTAATATTATTTATAAATATCATATTTTAGATAAATTCTACAAATAAATCACAGGGTGGGTATGAAGACTTTCATGGTTTTTTGTTTTGTTTTTTAATATAAGGTGGTTAAAATGACATCAGATGGAACCCTGATACAGATATAATTGACATTTTATCCATGGTAGTATAACTTTCAAGGCAGCGTAAAAAGAAATATTAGCTCTCTACTCCATGACAACCCAACCTTATTATGCTCTAACCTCCCAGTTCGTGGCTTCTCCACTTACAGAGTGTAGTGTGTACTGGATGTATGTAATACTAGAACTATACACATAGGGAAACCATTTAACAAAAAACTCATAGCTTCATTACTTCCAAGTGAGCTAAACCTCTGGCATACTGGATGATTTGTAAAACAGAATGGGGAGATCTCTGAGGACCAGAGACAAAGGATTTTTTATTTCCTTTTTAGACCTGGAAACCTGACAGAATGAGCAAGATGGTATCTCCAGGAAGGGTTCCATGGAAGTCAAATTTATCATTAGTGGGGCATCCTTTTCCATCACATTAGCCATTTGGAAAGAAATGCAGAACTGCTACTAAATGCTACTTGTATAGTTTGCTCTTTTTCATCCATTGTCATCCATCCATTCATTCACATTCTATCTTTGATTGCCAACCTAAGTATAAGGCTCTTTATACTTACATAAAGTGTATAAGTGAGATGAGATATAGTTCGAAATAACTATTACAAGAGGTTGTATGTTTGATCAGTGCAGCCAGTACTCTGACAGTTTAGAGAAAGAAAAATTACTTCCCCAAAATAACAGTAAAGGGTGGTTTCATGGGGTAAGATTTTCAGATATTTTTTGGAGGTTAAAGAGTGAGAAGATAGTTCAGTCCATTGAAGGAAGGATAAAGGTCATTAAAGAGTCAATTTTCAGGGTATTTACATAATAAATGGTAAAATTAAAAAAGTGATTATTACTAATTTTTGATAATCTAGGGTTTCTACCAGTTTATAGTTATTTTGGCATTTCTTATTTCTAGTAGTTTTTTTTTTTTTTTAAAGATTTATTTATTTACTTATACAAGCACTGGGCACAGTCAGAAGCGCGGGAGGGTGAGAGAATTCACCAGAGCCAGAGCGGGGAGCAGAGCAGGCAGAAGGACTGAAGTACACTGCTGAGGGGAGCAACGGGCTGCAGGAGAGGTCTGCGTGCCATGTGGGACCCTCCTCCGGTGGCCGGGGAGCAGCTGGGGATTGAACCAGGGCTGCAGAGGCTGCGGGCAGCTTCACAACCCAGCGCTCAACCTCTGCGCCACCGGGGAGGCCCTATTTCTAGTAGTTTTATAATAGCAGCCCTTTCAGGCTTTCAAATAAGAATTATTTCCAGAGAGAAATAAAAGCTTAATTTAATCAGATCAGTCAGCATGGAATTTCCATAACAGTAAGGGAGAGACTGACACTATTTTAAAATACAAATTTGGAGAATCTTAGTTTAAACTACTGATTACCTGAAGGAAAACTGGGGGAGAGAGGAGTGCATAAAGCGGTGGAAGAGAATAGGACATTGACACTAGAGTTTTGGTAGAAGGGTAAATGAAGCAATGTGCACATATGGAGGTGTAAAATAACCCCCCAAAATGACAAAGTAATGTAAAAGACTGACAAGTTAATAGAATTTGAGGTGGGGGGGGTGGTGTGGTGAGAATCTTTCTTAAAAAAATTGTTTTTTAACTTCATTTTACCTAATTTTCTTTTTTTTGCAGTTTGCCAATGTTTACAGTTCTGAGAAGGTTCTCCATCCTGTTTACAATGTTTGCTGAAGGAGTTTTACTCAAGTGAGCTAAATTTTCTAATATATATTGGCTTTAACAAGTTATAATTACCTTGAAAAGATGCCTACCACATGTGAAATTTAAAATTTGTCTTGTTTCGACCTTATCTTTTGAGATGTTTAAGCTACCTTCTGCTTTAGCTATAGGATTTATAGTTTCTGGGGACAGTGAGTGAGAAGTTGTAAATTGGAATTGGAGAACTATCTGAACATTCTTGAAGAGCTATGCTTTCAAGAATTGCTATGCCTACTTCTGCCCTGGGTGAAACCGGGTCAAAATCATTGGTATATGTTTTAAGTAGTGTTCCTATCTTGACGACTTTTACTACAAACGTATGATTTTTTCTACTTAAGAAATTCTGACTTGTGAAAATTCAAATTCACTAATAATAACAAATGAGGATAAGAAAAAGTATGATTATTTACATAAGAATTTAAGTTTTTGCATCATCAAAGGCGTTCTTTAATTTCTACTTCCCCAGAAACATTTAATATGTGCTTATTTATAGTTTTTAAAAATTTATATATATATAAAGAAAATATCAAATTTTCGAACCTATGGTATAGAGTAAGTCCTTGTAAATAACTAAAGCCAAATGTTTATATTTTAAATTATTTTATTTTATAGGAAAACTTTTTCTTGGGGTATTAAGATGACTGTATTTGCAATGATTATTGGAGCCTTTGTAGCTGCCAGGTAAGATGTGGGCCTATATAAAGTCTATGAGTACACATTGGAAATTACCAACACTTGTTGATAATGATAAAGTAAAGTAAAGATTATTTTAAAGCCTAAGTAATCATCGTGTCTTTGTAAAACATCCAAAATAGTCTTCAAAAGTTAAATCTTTTTGACTGAATTAAGATCAAGCTTGACAGAATCATATTGTGGATTCTTAACAGTTAAATTTGTATAATATTTATAAAGCTGTTTTTATTTATTGACCCCATTGGCATTTTATATGTATTATTTCTCTGTTCTTTGCAAAAACTCTGAGAGTTATGGGTATAATTTTCCTATTTTATAGTTGAGATAACTAAAATCTAAGTTTGGTAACTTACTCAAGATGACACAACCAGTAAATGGCAGAGCTAGAATTTGAATCTCCGCCTGACAGTGGAGCCTGTGTACTTTTATAAACCATGTGGTATTCCTTTACTTTGCATGCTGCTAATGAAAAAGTATCTCAGAAGAAGCAAATGATAATGTATTATTTGTCTTGTGAATATTAAATAATAGAGTCGCTTTATTTGGCCCCACATAAGCTATATCTAACACATGCTGTAACTTAGATTTTCTATTAAGTTGTTAAAGCTTTTTTCCATTATTCTTAAGTTTTAATTTTAAAATGCACAGGGAAAAGGTATACCCAAAGAATCAGAAAATTAAAATGGTGGCTGAAAGCCATGTACAACATTTTACTCAGCCCAGGGTTTGCTCATGCCACAAATTCTGTTTACATTTATTTTCCTTCTGGGAGTTCCACTGTACTCTTGGTTTGGCTCTTTTACCTTCATGTTATCTCTGCTGTGTAGGCAGGGAGGGGAAAATATGTCAGATCTATTCTACCTTAAATCTGCAAGTTAAATTTCATTCTTAAAAAAAAGTATGGAGTCATTGGTTACTAGAATTTGGTTTTATAACTGATTGCATTTCCCTCTAGCTTATATCGCCTGCTTGGAAAAAAAGTTTTATTTTTTTTTCACTCCTACCTTTGAGACTCCCTGTCTTTCCTTTTAGAGGTGCCCATTGGTCTTTGAAACATTTCTGAGAAGCTGGTGGAACCCAGAATTGAACCAAGCAACAGGGTTCCTCAAAGCTTACTCTGGCCTGCAAAAAATTTCTGATGAGGATTGATACCTGGACCAGCCTTATTTAATTAGAATGTTTTATGTTGAAATACTATTGACGATGGGAGTCTGAAATTAGACGACTGTCAGGCTGCTTGTAAGAGGGCATTTGCCTTAGGCTAGTCCTGTCCAAAATTGTAATGACATGGAGCACTTCAGAAGTCCCAATTCTTGTAGTGGTTAAGCCACAAATATATAATGTCTTTGCAAAATCACAGAATGTGGGACCACTATTTTAGATAGGGAGGTGAAATATGTTGAAGGCATACTTTTACTAGATTTTTACCTATTCTGTTCAGTTTACTGTGTTCTTATCTTGTGTCTAGGGCTGTACTATGTACTCAAAAACTTCAGGTTTCCCTGATTCTACTACTTATACCTCATAGGCTAATTAAACAATTGTTTAAGTATTTAAGTTCTTAGCGTGTGCTTAGACACTGTTGTTTATCTCAGTTAGAATTTACTATGATCCACACACCATAAATTCCATCCAATAGCCCAAACTCTTGTGCAAGATAGTCTTTTTGTATAAATGTTTGGAAAATGACAGTGTTAACAGTGTTGTCTTTTTTGGTTTTCTTATCTGTGAAATTGAGCTTTTACCTGCTTCAGATGTATTGAAATGTTGAATTTGGTTGTTTCTTGCTGTCTGACTTTGAATAAGGAGCAGTATGCTATTAACTGACATGATTGATCATTGCTAATGATTGTGTTTAAGTTAACACATTTCTGTTAATTAAATTAGCTCATTTCTGAAGACTCCCTGATTGAGCGTAAAGTCACAGACTCACCAGGAATCAAGAAGTGCTAGTAAATAATAAAATGTCTAATATTATTTATCTAGATAAGAATATGTTTCTGTAAATATTGTGGTTCAGGTCTGTTAGAAATTAAATGTTTATTCTTTGAATGTAAGTTGTTAAAGTATTTCTTATGTTTTACAGCTCTGACTTGGCCTTTGATCTGGAAGGATATGTTTTTATTCTGATAAATGATGTCCTGACAGCAGCAAATGGTGCATACGTAAAACAAAAATTAGATTCAAAAGTAGGTAGCACTCTAAAGCTTTCTTAACAGTTGTTTACCTATGTTGGGAATGGTAATGTCAATTCATCAGGGAAAAAGCAGGGAGGAAAGAAAAATTCTGAGGAGAGATATGAAAGACATAAGAGATCTCTGAATGCCTGCATTTTGGTGCTCACTTAAGAACCTTTATTTTTCAGTCGTTGATTAATTGGCAGGGATTGGGTGAATATTAACAGTGAATAGGATAGAGAAAGTCAGGGGTGTTCATTAGAGAAAAGTGTCATAAATATTCATGACTATGTTTTAGAGAAGTTGGTAAGGGATCCGGACAAGAATATATGGAAGCCTTGAGCAGATTTGAGGAGAAGTGAGTGTTGGCAGGGGCTGCAGAACATGGATGGATTTTGGGTGTTTGCCCTACAATGACTTTAGGGAACATTAGGATCTCTTTCGTGGTAGCACTGAGTTCTCTGGCCTACCTCTCAAACATGTGAACTGCATGTTCTTTTCCCTCAACTTGCAGCTTGCACACATGGCTTTTATGATATTTTTTGTTTGTTTTTTTTTATTACATTTTTGAAGTATAGAGACCCTAAATTTTATTTTTAGATAAAGTCAAACTATCAGAAAACTTAGTAGTTGAGCCACATTGCTTTTCCTGAATTATAGTGTAAGATTACATTACTACAAAATTACCTAACTGTAAGAAGAAACTTACGTGGAACTCAACTTTATATAGCAGAGTTGCTGAAGAAATTATCCTTTCTATCATAAAGTTTCCTATAGAAAGACCCATATGAGACATTTATCATAGATGTCACCATAGTTTTCTTGAGCAGCATCATTTTTATCTCATAATTGAATCTGGTAACTCACCATGACTTTATCACTTATTCTGATGTTTTCTCCTCAGTCATATGACCTTATCTGCTTCGTTTTTAGTCTGATTTATTATATGTATAATATTCCTTTTTTTGGAATTCAGATCATATAGATGCCTTACCTATTTCATACTAGCATTAATAGCAGATTTGTATTATCTTTGCAGGGACTTTGCCATCTCTAGAAAAGAACTCTTAAATGCATGGCCGTCCCAATAACTTTTGAAGTAGGGAAATTGTAAGCAAATTGCATCAAAGGGCCTCACACTTCTGTATGTGAGGCTGAACAAAATGAACTTATTGACTACTGATGGTGAACATGACAATGTGTTTTTAGATACTTGTTTCTAGTTTTTCAAAGCTGCTTTTGAGAAGGGAGTTTGACTTTTCACATCATTCAGTGATCTTTCCATTAACAGAAGTTAGGCAGATGCCACACCCCTATCCTCATTACTCCTTCACTTTTCTTCATACCCCCAAACTCTGGCCTACTTTTTCAGGTGACTTTGCTTCCTGCTGAATGTGCTGGACCCGTAGTGCTCAGAGATTCCCTGTTTTTTAAGCCATGTGTTGTCTTTGTTGTTCCCCAATTGCTGAGGGCACAGCTATTCATATTTTGTTTTGGGAGTTACAGAGATAGTAATTTAATCTTCACTATCCTTCACATACACATTTTCAGAAATACTTCTCTGGAAAGTTTTGTACCATCTGTGTTAGTCTGGGTGTGAGTCTCTATGTCTGGTTCTGACCATCCATTTCTCTTAAATGGTACTTTGTTATAGTTCTGAAAAGCCCAACACCAACTTGATGACTTTTCTTTCAGTTATGGAAAAGGAAGGAATGTATTTCTATAGAGATATGTGTATATGGTCAAAATAACTTCTTCCCTACTTGCTACTCAAGAAATTTATTGCAAATAAATTTAAAATCTTGTAAGTCAACCACTCTACCCTTGTTTTGAAAGCTTAGGTATTTCTTAATATATGCAAGAGTTATTACCTAATTAATTTGCTATGTATATTGTGGGAGAGGGGTGTGTGTGTGTATAAAATGGGGGTGGTACTCTGTATAGGGTTGTGTGTATCTGTCTGCTAGAACCAAATTAAACACCTATTGGTTAAACTATCCTAGGAGCTGGGAAAATATGGTCTGCTCTATTACAATGCACTGTTCATGATTCTGCCCACCTTGGCCATTGCATTTTTCACAGGAGATGCACAAAAGGTAAGGCTTTGTAAGTATGGTTTAATGGCATATGTTTTTGAATTGTGTTATTATCTGTGGCTGAAAGATAGACTTTTGGACTGTTAAAAACAAATATGCTTATTACACTGAGAATTTCCTCTGTAGCTTGCTAATGTTATGCTAACCTTTTTTCTTGTTAGAAGTACTGGATAGTATTAAAGTGGCTCAAAATAGTTCTAGCTGTCAACATAAAAATAATGCATGAGACTAGTGTCCTCCTTTTGTGTGCCAGAAAGGAAAATTTACATTTTTTCTGAACTACAAAATAGGAACAGTAGCACACTATCCTTGAGAAACACAAATCCTGAAGTAGTAAAATTCTTCAAATCTAAGCAAAATGCTAGGTATCTCCAGAAGCTCCATTTTTTTGTGTATGATGATTTTCCTGGCCTCAATGCCAAGCTGTGATCTTTCCTCCTCTCCCCTGTGAAATACTTAGCACTGTGTGGTGACGCGACCATATAAATAGCAACTAATATAATAATTTACTTGTTTTCTGCAAATGTTTAGCTAGATAAATCCAAAATAGAGTAGCAAAATATGTTCAGAGAAGAATTTTTATCTAAGAAGAGTCTCTATTCATTAGAAAAAAAAATGACACTGTTTTGTTAGAATTCACAAAATTTTGCAAACTAAATGCAAATCTACGATTGTGCCAGGGATTTCCATACCAAGATCCTGTCTAATGATTCCCCTGACTAGTAGTCTCTTGGGAATAAATGTGCTGGTTATTCACTGTAATGACAGTGACAGTTTCTACGCATCAGTGGAAACTGAAATAAAGATTTTCAAAAGCAATGATTGTTAAAAAATTGCTCTTGTATCAAAGGTTTTTTTCCATTAGGAACTGTTTCATTTAAAAAACTGGCATGGAATCATCTTGAACATATGTAAATATTTTAATGAACTGTAACCTGACTGCCAGCAGGTCTAAAAATGGCACCAATGTAGCTATTGCTCTAATAAAGTGTTGAGTAAGTATTTTGTGGTTATGAAAAAAAGCAGAGGAAGAAACTCACATTTATTGAGTCTCTATTATGTGGTAATCATTTTACGAGTGTAACGTAATACAGAGCCCATAACAGCTCTAGAAAGTTTGAATTATCCCTGTTTTACCACCGTGGAAATAGAGGTTCAGAGAAACTGAGTAATTTGCCCAGGGTGGTAGAGTAAGAATTTAAAGCCATGCCTGATTCCAAAGAACATAGTCTTTCCACAGTGTTCTGTCTCCCTCTAGCAAACTGTGTTAGAAATACTCTTACTCTTTAACTTTGGGGCAAAAATGTAATGTAAAATAAAAAGCCTTCTCTGTGTAGCACAGATGGTTCCAGATCTTTTTTTGCAGGGCGGGGGGAGGAGATACATGGGGGTAAGAAATGTTCTGTTTTATTTTAATTGAGATATATTTGACATACAACATTGTGTAAATTTAAGGTATAACATTGATTTGATACATTTATACTGAAGTATGATTCCCATTATAGCATTAGCTAACACCTCTATCAGGTCACATAATAATTATTATTACTTTCAGTGGTAGAAACTTTAAATAGTGTCCAGTTTCTTAACAAGTTTAATATTTATAATACAATTTTGTTTATGATCACTGTATGGAAAGTAAATGTTTTTTCTCATACCTGCAACATTTAGAGAATTGACTAGATTACTGAACCATGAAAATTTGTTTTAATGAATTGCACTTTTTTAAAACTGAGGTAACATGAGTTTACAACACATAGTTAACAAATCTTCAGGCCAGTATGTACATGAGAAAGGTGGAAGAACTCATGTGGTTAGGTATTGTAAAGTAGCTACTTGAAAAGTTAACCAAATGAAATATTGCTTCATTTCAGGATGATAATGATTTGATTAGAAGTTACCTCTGGTATTTTAAAACTCACCCTCCCCCCAATAAAAGTGCCAGGGAAAGATAAAGAAAGGTTTATTTTGGAAGAGTAATATTTTTAATGTTTATTTTAAATACTTTCAAGTTAGGGTGATAAACTAATTGTGGAAGGTGAAGTCATTGCTTTTTAATCAACTCACATCAGTATTTTGGGTTTCACGTAAGTATTTGCTCATCCTCTTATTTTTCATTAATGTGATTCTTATAAAATTTACTTATAGATTTTTTGGGGATTTAGGTAGACACGCTGACTGGTGGACTTAAAATCACATGCCTTTTTTTTTTTTTTTTAAAGATTGATTTTTATTTATTTATACAAGCCCTGGGTACAGTCAGAAGCGTGGGAGGGTGAGAGAATTCACCAGAGCCAGAGCAGGGAGCAGAACAGGCAGACTGAAATACACTGCTGAGGGGAGCAGCGGGTGGCAAGAGAGGTCTGCGCGCCATGTGGGACCCTCCTCTGGTGGCCAGGGAGCAGCTGGGGATTGAACCAGCGCTGCAGAGGCTGTGGGCAGCTTCGCAACCCAGCGTTCAACCGCTGCACCACCAGGGAGGCCCTGCTTTTTTTCTTAATATTCTCTTCTTGATATGTTCTCCCTCTTAACATTCTCCATTAGTCATTAAGGGCTTATTATGTGTCTCACAGGTTTATGTTGAGGTGATAAGAAAAAAGAAGGTGAATTAGGTGGTATTTTTTTCCTTCGAGGACCATACAGTGTTCTTGGGGAATAAACCTGTCAGTGTAAGAACAGTGAACTTACAGGTTTTATTTAATAAAACTTATAGATTTTATTTCCTTGTTGAGGATGGAATGCCTCAGAGAGCTTTACTTATAAGCAAAATTAAAAGATAATTGGTTTGATTATTTGGTGTGATTTTAGTAGGTTATGAATTAAACTTATTTGAAACTTAGAAAGTGAAAATTCTAAATTTAGCTGTTCCTAAATTCCTTGTGTTATCTTGAGATAAGGCCTTTTAATTTCTTTTTTAATTTAGTTCACGTAACTATTTCTGAGCATCTTCCTTGGGCTAAGAAAGCCCTGTGCTTTGGAAATATATGAGTTATGAAGTAGTCCTAGCAATACAAGTAGGACCTTTGGCATGCTACAGAGATGGTGAAAGCTTGATCTAGCACTTAGCTGTATACCCACCAGTCAGTAGTAGAAGGTTAGGGAGAAACTTGTATGGGTTAAATATCAAGATTAGCATTTTCAAAAAGCTAAATCTTGATTTTCTTATTCTCCAAGGCAACAAGTAATGCTCACTGTCCTGGGGGCAGTTGTTAGAGAAAAAACTTAGTGAATTGGTTGAGCGGTTTGCTTTTGTTATCCAGCACAGAAGGCGTGGAGGAAGCCATTAATGCCTTAAGTTGTCCAAGACTCAGAGAATCCTACCAAAGTGGGTCACAATTTATTTCTTCCACTAGAATGTTCAGTTTTATAATAATGGTCTGTTAGTGTCTAAGTGCTCACAAAAAGGGATCACATTACAGAGGGGCCTATGTGACAGGATTTCAGGTGAGAGTATTCAGTTAAGTTAGGTTCATTTTCAGTGTGTTTCTTTTAGATGTGTGCTTTTCTTTGTGTGTATGTATGTATGTGTGTGTGTGTCTGTGAACAAACATGTGCCTCATGTTTGTCTTAACACTTTTTTATGTGACAGTCTTTAAATAAAGCTGTTCCCTGATTAATAATTTGAGCCGACGTCTGGCCTGTAGTAATACTTTATTTATAGGGTATGATGCCATGTTCCTGACAAAATGCTTACACATAAACCATTTTCTGTGATCTTCATTATATATCTGAATAGGCTGCTATATGATTTACAGAAGTTAAGGGCATTCTTACAATTTTATATGGCAGGGTTTAGAAAATTAGAACCAGTCTGTTTGACTCCAGGTAGATGCCTTGCTGTTTGCCTGAGTACATCTGTCTTGCAAAGCCATTTGTTGCCTCCCTGACTTTTTTTTTTCCCCTGTTTGGGTCTTCCATACAGGGCTTTCTTACAGATGTAGTTATTAAGTGTGAGGATGCATCAGAATAGTAGTAAAAGTGAAGTCTCTGCTTCTTGGCCTTACTGTTATTTAATTATTTACAAATATCAAATTTCTTCCATCCAACAAATCTTTTTTGAGTCCATATTATGTGTCAGGTGCTGTTCCAGTTTAAAAATAAGACATGTCCCTGCTTTAAAGGAACGTAGAGTCTAGTAGGGTGTGACTGATTAAATATAAATTGTATAATAGCTATGAAGAGAAATAAAACAAGGAAGAGAGTGATCCAGGAAGTGCTATTTTGGATAAGATGGGTTAAAAAAAAACTAAGTTTCATTTGAGCAGATACTGAACTGAACGGACTGAGATTCATCTGTGTGACTTTTTGCAAAGAGTAATCTAGGTTGAGGGAAGAACAACTTTTGAGTCCTGAGGTGGGAGTGCTTACCTTGTTCATAAGGAGCATTTCCTGCTAGCTAAGTCCTAGCAAAAGTAAAGGTAGGCCTTGAAAGATATGAAGAAAGAAAAACAAAATGTTCATTCCAGATGGAACTAATAATATAAACATGGGAAAATTCATAAAGACCAGACTCCAGTTTGGCTAAAAGTAGAAGTCAAAGACTTTGGACACTTTAGAAGAAACCATAAGGAACACTTTTTCAAACCTTGTTTTGCAGATAAGGAAACTGGAGGGCTCAAGATCAGAACCCAGATTTTCTCTAAGAATCATGTTGTCACTCTTCCCACCATATCTTACCCCACTTCCTTCTAAATTGGGTCCAGTGCTAAACACAGGAATTTGAAATTTACTGTGCAGATAGTTATGAGTCACTAAGTTTGTGGCATTAGTAATATAGTCAAGAAAATCTGAGGGCAGAATGCAGAAGACCAGCAATCTCCAAAACTGTTCCTGGCTGTTGTTTGAGTTTAAATATATCCTTTCTGCTCTCCTATCCTCATTTGTCATGTGTAAATTGATGAGGTTGGATCACTGAGTTGGTGGGTTCTCTTCCCAGGGCTGAGACAGTTTCTGAGGATATAAGGCATGCCAGTATGGAGACTAGACTGCTCTTCTGATAGCTGCTCCCTCTGTTCTATAAACCAGTGCTTAGAAACTGCTCTCATCTCTTGAACTCCTGGCCTTCCAGGCCCAGGACCATTTTGCATGGTGCTGTGTGTGTATTGGCTAAAAAGCTATCCAAGATAAATTGCTAAATAACAAAAGCACAGTATAAAACAAAACAGTATGTATAGCACACTGGCTTTTTAGTAAAACTAAAAAGGTAAAATAATTCAGTTCACTCTTGAAGAACAGGAGTTTGTTTGACTATGTAAGTATACCTATAATAGGATTTTTTTTCTATCTCTTGGCTCCTCATTCTCGAATTTAGCCAACTATGGATATCCAGTTGGCTTCATATAAGAATGCAGAACCCATGGAGACACAGGACCAACTCTAAGTTATACATGGATTTTCGCTTGTGCACAGGTCAGGGGGTTGATACCACTAACCACTGCCTTGTTCAAGCGTTAACTACATATAAATTGTTAAATGAAAAACCAAAATGTAAAATAGTGAATTGGATATGCTACCTGTTAAGCAAACCGAAAAGGGAAAAATAATATCTATATATATATATTTCATCCACTAACTTAAATAAAATCTACACATGTAGTTTTTCTCTTCCTTGCTTTATTTCTCTTCATAGCTGTTATACAATTTATATTTAATCAATCACACACTACTAGGCTCCAAGTTCCTTTAAAGCAGGGACATGTCTTATTTTTTAACTGGAACAGTACCTGACACATAATACAGACTCAAAAAAGATTTGTTGGATGGAAGAAATTTGATATCTGTAAACAATTAAGATTAAATAAAATCTACATAGGTAGATGTGAGAGAGAGCGAGAGAGAGAGAGAGAGAGAGAGAGAGAGAGAGAGAGAAGAGAGAGCGAGAGAGAGAGAGAGAGAGAGAGAGAGAGAGAGAGAGCGCAAATATCAAATAGGAGTGGGAGGGAGATTTTCTATCATCGATTTTTAAAATATTTTTTTACTACAGTATCATGAATATATTTATAATTACACTTTAGGCACTTCACCCAGGATGCAGTTTGAAGCCACATTATTTTTCTCAAAATTCCACTCTTGACCTTAATAAGTAGAGGAGGGAGAATTTCCCTCTGATAGGACAAAATCGGGAGAACTCTAAAAGTTAAACTTCCAGGAAAGGCAAGAGTCCTATGGAGAAAAGATAGGACCAACACATCCTTTGAAAAAGAATTCAATAACAACTATCAATAGTTCAACAATTCTTGTGTTTTCTTTATTTCCTCTTTAAAATACGGTAATCCTTCTCTCTTCTTAAGACAGAGGAAAAGGATAAACCTTAAAGGACAAATTCCCTGTTTTGTTCCCCAAACACATGTAAAGAAAAAAAACCAAGTTACAAAAAAAAAAACAAAAAAAAAAACTGAAAAGTAAGATCCAGTTGAACAATTCATCCCAGTGAACACATGAAGAATACAAGTACTTAGCAAAGCATCCTGAGAAGTCAAATGTGTGTGTGTATGTAATTTTTAAAAATTTATTCAAGGTTCTTGAAGTCCTGGACTTACCAGAGAAATTATAGGACCAATATTATTCAGCATTTTGTTTTTTAAAACATGTCTTCTGACTTTAAAATGTTTTTCTTATTTAAAAAAAAACACACAAAAATCTACATACCATGCAAAACCAGCTTGTTAATCAAGGATCTCTAGTAAAAACAGATAAAGGTGGAGCAGGAATGATGAAAGACTTTCCAAAGCCTACGTTTTGGGACTATGTTCAGACTTGTTAGTTTCTGCCTCCAAAAGGGAATGTCTGTGGCACAAAGCCAGTGATTCACAAAGCCACAGGAATTGCAGCCTGGCTTTCTGACAGCATGCTCTGCTAGGTGTTCTCACATAGAGATGGAAGAACAGACCCTTGCTGTAGCTCTCACAAGGCCAGTACTGTAGCACTGGTTAATTGTATAATGTCTTTTAATATCACTGGTTAAATTACATGGTCAGATGAATTTTGCAGGAAAAGTTGCTGTATAAAACCATCTACCTGGAGGTGTCTCTTATTAAACATTACTGACTGAATAATGAAGAATGTTTACACTGTTGGTTTAGCCTGCCCATAGTTTTTGCTCTTTTCTGGGTCACTCTGTGGACCATTAAGACTGATACTCAAACCTTGAATTAATCTCTCCAAATAAAACAGATCCCTTCTGCTTTCTGGGTCTTTGTATACACACATGTAAAACAAGTGGTTTACAGCAATTATTCTTTAATTATGAATGACTGGATCTTTTTCTTTGCCTGTATTTTGTTTGAATCATGAAATAATATTTTTAGCCATTCTTACTTTTGGGGATATAAGACCAAGTGGCCTAGTTTGCAAGCTTGAGTGTGTAGTCTTACCATAATTCATTGGTTTTACACAAGTGGCAGAGCTTAGTAAGCAGAGATAATAAAAATAACTGGGTACTAATTCCTTGTCTGAACAGGAAGCATGGGCTAGAGCAGGAGAAGTTGTGGCAAATGGCTCCAGCAGTGCAGAACATAGGGTTGGCAGCCTTTGACGACAGGCTCTGTGAACTTGTCTAACTTTGCAAGGTAGGGAGGGAACCAGGAAGATTATTTCCACCACTGGTGTTATCATCTGTCTTAGCAAGTTCTCTAGCAGTTTACTTTCTAAGATAAGGATTCAATTTTTTTCCCAATAGGTTTTTGGGAAAAGAATTTCCAAAATAGAATGGTATCATTCATCAGCCATTTTTTCTTTACCATGATCTCTAAAGATTTAGTGGTTTATTTTTAGACTCTATATTAGGCAAGGACACATAAGCAAGACACATAAGAAAATGTCTCAGTCATTCTTTAGATTTTATTTCAGATCTCAGGGAAGTTGGAAACTCTTTGTTTTGCCAATTTTTCTGGGAGAATGGTTATATCTAAGAGTTAAGTGCACATTGGAATTATTCCATGCTGTTCTTTAGGTTAAGGGTGGCAAAATGGTGTTAATGTCGTCCTCTGTTCATTGTAGACATTGCCAATTAGTCATAAACTCCTTTTTCACTTTTTTTTAAACTATCTTTTGCTGTACAGAGAGATGCCTTTTAGTTTGCTGCCGCCCTACCTATTCATTTTTGCTTTGGTGTCATATCCAAAAAATTGTTGCTCACACCAGTTTTAAGGAACTTTTTCCGTATGAATTCTTCTAGTAATTTTATGGTTTCAGATTGAAATTTCTTTATCATGGTTGTACTGGTGGCGATATGACTATATGCGTTTATCAAGATTCGTTGAATTGTACATTTAAAATTGGTGAATTTTGTTTTTAATATATTGTACCTCAACAAAGAAAGAACCACGAAGAAGCTGAATGTCTCCTGTCTGTCAAGTGCTGTGTTTGGGTCCTTCCTCCCCACAAAACCCTTGCCCTGGCAACCCACAGTCATTATACACGTTATAGCCAGACTTGGAGTTTAGAGTATATGATAACAGCCCTAGTGCAAGTCTGCTGCGGCACAAAGGAAGGAGTGTTTTATCAGGAAAAGACTCACAAAAGAGCTGTGTGAGTTTTGGTTTGATGAGTCAGCAAGAATCAGACTGTTGCAGAAAGGGCATTCCTAGCAAAGGCATGTGAGTATGAGACTTCATGTTACGTTGTATAAACCACTGGAAGCCCAGTATTACCAGAACCCTTAAACTGTGGCAAGAATTGAAGCTGGACAGGTTGTCAGAGAGATAAAGCTGTAGTTTCAAATTTGCTTAACAGAATCATATTGCAAGAGAAATTATATATTCCTGAGAGAGAAAGCCTTCTTCTTGGGTAAGAGATGAGGTGACCCATGCACCCTTTCATTTCTCTGCAGTATTTCCCTTTGGCTTAAAAACAGCAAAAACCTTGCTTTTACAATCAGCTGTTTTACAATAATAATTCTCCCTGAATAGATCTTAGCTAAATTTGTGTAGCTAAAGTTATGCATGAGTTTTCACATGTTATCGGGAGAAAATATGTTTTAACGTTTGGGAAAGCCTTTAGCACTAGCCATCTGGAAGAACTAGCGAAATGGCTTGAGCCTTTCAGCAATTATGTTTCTTTGTACCAACACAATCTCCCTCACACTCCATTTTAGAAAGGAGAAAATTTTCTGAAACTGCTCATTATTTCAACATCATATTATATGAAATTCTTGAACATCTTGCTCTATCCATGGAGTGTGCAGGAAATGTGTATGAGTATATGTGTATGTGTGGCGGGAGCCAGCTCATTTTGATTAATGACTAGTAGAGCTGATTTTGAAGACCTCCTCTAAAATTGGATGCTTTCTTGTGTTTTATAGGCAATGGCTTTTGAAGGCTGGGCTGATACCCTCTTTCTTTTGCAGTTCACTCTCTCCTGTGTGATGGGGTAAGTCTTTCCTAGAGAAATTTGTTCTAGGGTCCTTTTGTCTCATTCCTCAATATCCTGTTCAGTCTCTGGAGTGTGTCAGCTTAGGATAATTAAACCTCCAGATTCAGGTGATGTCATAGTCCTTAGAAATATGCTGTCAGGGTTACTGAATTGACCTCAAAGTCATGCTTAGAAGGATGGCAAAAAGAAACTAGTATTTACCAAATAACCTGCTATGTGATAAACACCATTCTATTTCAATGTGCATTATTTGAAAGATATTGTTGCCCCTTTACCTATGAGAAGCAGAACTCAGCTGAATTATCTAAGTTTGCAGAATTAGTGAGTGGCATAGCAGCGTTTGAATTTTAGGCTGTTTGAGATCTCAATATGAGGTTGTCTTTGTCTGAGGAGAGTGTATATAGTAGGTCAGAGGCTATCTGCAAATATGCGGCTTCTCACCTCCGTATTTCCCTAATGCATTTTTTCCTCATTGAGTTCAGTTGATATTAGTGCTTGGATTTGCACAGGCCAGCTATATATTGAGTGAGTGTGTGCTTAAAATAAGGTTGACATAGTGCTTTAGTACTGAGTCAGGCACAGAAGCCTCAGTAAATCTGGGTGTTCCGTCTGCTTCCACTTCTTTAAGTGAGCGTATCTCCCTCTTCAAGTAGTTCCAATTTGCTTTTCTTCCATCCTTAACCATCTCTCTGTTTTCACTCTAATTCTGAGGTCATATTATCCTTCTGGGAGGTACACACCTGAGCTTAGGTGTGAGCTCTGACCTTTCTCTCTGCGCTAGGTGAATTAGTAGGAGTGTGACCTAAAAAGAAAACTCATGATTAAAAGAATATTTTCAAGCTTTTGGTGAGGGTAGCTGGAAAAAGAACCTGGCTAGGAAATGCACATGTATTTCCCTTTAATGAAATTTTTAAAGCTCTGAAACAGCAGTGAGATGGAGAAAGTTCACAGTGACTAGAATCTGCTAGCATGGCCAACATTGACTGTCTTTTGGCTAACGTTTTGTATAAAGTAAGCAAGTGGATCTTTCTTAAAAGATACCTCTGTTGGGGACATTGGGGTGTCCTTCCCCCTTACCCCATTCCAAAATAAAGTAGAAAAAAATAATTTTTTTCCATTTCAGGTTTATCTTGATGTATGCCACAGTACTTTGCACACAGTATAATTCTGCTCTTACAACTACAATAGTTGGCTGTATTAAGGTGAGTTGAAAAAAATACTGTTATCTTTTGGGTATCTGCTTATTTGCAAATTGTTTCTCCAGTTGAAGTCTGGCTATGACCTTAAGCTACATTATCCGGTTTCCCTCTCATATTGTTTTGATTGACAAATTGTGATAATGGTTTCTAAAACAATCATTAAGAATTCAGGAAGAGGCTTCCCTTGGCACAAGGGGTTAAGCATAGCACTGTGAAGCTGTCTGCAGCCTCTGCAGCACGAGTTCAATCCCCAGCCAGGGAGCTAACTGCATGATGCAGCAGACCTCTCCTGTCTCGCCTACTGTTCCCCTCATCAGTGTGTTTCAGTCAGTCTGCCTGTTCTGCTCCCCACTCTGGTGAATCCTCTCACCTCCCCCACCCCCCGTACGTCTGGCCTGTACCCCAGTTCTTGTATGCATAAATAAATAAATCTTTAAAAAAAAGAATCCAGGAAGTGCTTAATATTTACTTTTAGGCATCCTTAGATCTGAAGAGTGTTGGAAAAGGAGAATGTATTATCTTAGAGTAGAAGAAGAAGAGTTAGGCCTGTTTCTGACAGGGCAGATGACTGAGTAGTGATAGGCCTGTCCCTTGAACCCACAATGAGTGCGGTTCTGTTCTCTCCTTCACTGAGTTCTGGCTGTTTTGTAAGGAAAGGGTGCTTGCCAGAAGCTAATCAGGGAGTTTTCCTATGCCTGAGCCAAAACCTTAAATGGCCCACTTTAAAAAACTGTGTCTGACATTTCCAGTGATGTCATTTCCTCCTGATCTATTTTATTTGAGGGAGGCTCATTTGTCTTCAGCCAGGAGAGCCAAGTTGACTTGACTATTGAACCAAAGTTAGTGGATTGCAGTCTAAGGTCTCTTTTATCTGACTTTGTGATTCTAGTACTTTGAGATTCAAGAGGTCATAGCATACCTGAATTTCTAATGAATTAGACTTGCTTTCTGAAAAAGGTGGAACACAGAGAGGTAGACTCTTGATCATTTGAGGAAAAGGGTACAGTTTCCCTTGTGAATTCATTCTTATGTTCTGTTTGTTAGTAGTGAGGGAAGGGGTTGCAGAGAGGTAAGTCTTTCTTCCTACTCTGCTTGTGTTTCCCTCTGTACGCCTTAGGGAGTGCTGCCCACCTGACCTCATTTTAGAAACTAGAGTTAAAATACCAGAAGGTCTGTGCCTTCAAATCATAGGATTGGAGTGTTTGGTGTGAATAGAATTCTAAATTAAGCTGTAACAAGTCCATTGTGTGAATTCCCATGAAAGCTAGCAACAGTTAATCTGCATTCAAAGGCCAGGGCTGGCTGAGACAGTTCTAGCCCCCCAAATTAGCTCTCAGCTGTGCTTTGGGTTTTTTTAAAGTGAATCCTTCACAAGCAAAGTAGATGGTTTGCATCTTCAAAATAAGAACAAGCAAGAGAGCCTCCCCAGTGGCGCAGCAGTTGAGTGCTGGGTTGCAAAGCTGCCCGCAGCCTCTGCAGCGCCAGTTCGATCCCCGGCTGCTCCCGGCCACCGGAGGAGGGTCCCACATGGGGCACAGACCTCTCCTGCCGCCCGCTGATCCCCTCAGCAGTGTACTTCGGTCCTTCTGCCTGCTCTGCTCCCCGCTCTGGCTCTGGTGAATTCTCTCACCCTCCCGCGCTTCTGACTGTGCCCAGTGCTTGTATAAATAAATGAATAATAAATAAATAAATAAATCTTAAAAAAAAAAAAAAAAGAACAAGCAGAACAGGAGAGACAGGACATTGTACCATTTTTTTGACCAAGGAGAAGGATGATACAGGAGAGCCTATGTTTAATTTTAATAACTAAATCTATGCTTAGAATTTCCTAGTGTATCATTATCAGCACAGATACAAATACAATCATGATCTTGTTAACATAAAGTCAGGTTCTTTTCTTTTGATACTTCTTCCTCTGTGTAGTAGTCCAAGAACCTTATGGTCTTACTCAGTTCAAAGGGATCAGTTTTACTTGTAAGTTCTAGAGGGAGTGGAAAAAATGGATTGTCTGATTAGTTTTCATTGCTAGTGCTTCTCACTGCCATAGGATATCACTATTTTAGGTTGTTGTATACTTTCAGACAAAAGGGAGTATAGTGCTTCACAGTCTCACAGGCCACAGTGGACCTTTCATTAGCCTCTCAGTCACAACCCTTAAAGTTTCACCATTGTTCTCCAGGGGTCTTTCATTTCCCCTGTGCTTGAGGATCCTAACCCTATGAACTCATGCGACACCATTCTTTGTTTCTCTTAAATGTTGGTGGGAAATTATTCAGGAAAGCTTGTTAAAAGTAGAAATTCTTAGGCCCACCTCAGATATAATGAATCAGAATATTTAGAGTTTGGAAATCATTTTTCCACAAGATTTACAGGTTGTTCTCAGGTATATTGAAGTTTGAGAATTTTAGTCTTGGTTTTGAGATACCAGCATAGACTTTTCTGTGCTTCCATGTAAGTTCTACTTTGAGGGAACTGGTGTCTTTTCCTGATAACAGATCTTGGTTAGAATGACCGGATAAACTCCAGTAGTTTTTCTGACTTCTGATTGATTTTGGGCAACAGGATTATTTTTTCTGCCCTGTTCTTTTCTGTAGTTCCCTGGGTTAATATGTACTAGTTAATCTAAATGGATTAACTCTAGATGAATCTCTGTATTCCAAGAGAGGTGCTGTTACACTCTCTCCCGAGTTGCCTGTCTGCTATATATACTATTACTTGTGGGTATTTTTTTTTCCTTCGAATAATAAGAAAATCTAAGGTAACTTGCTGTGTCCATCCTTATATCTAAAAGAGGTTGACTTAATTTTGAATGTTTTCTCTTCATTCAAAAAACAATTTTGAAGTTTGTTTTGTCCTTTTTTTTTTTTTTAAGGATTTATTTATACAAGAACTAGGGTACAGTCAGGCGCGGGAGGGTGAGAGAGAATTCACCAGAGACAGAGCGGGGAGCAGAACAGGTAGACAGATCGAAGACACTGCTGAGGGGAGCAGCGGGTGAGGCAGGAGAGGTCTGCCACGCCATGTGGGAATCTCCCTGGCCAGCCGGGAATCGAACCTGCACTGCAGAAGCTGCGGACAGCTTCACAGCGCTGCGCTCAACCCGCTATGCCATCGGGGAGTTCCTGTTTTGTCCTTTTATAAACACAATGGAACTTTAGTTTCTGCTTCATAGGCCTGGTTTAGCAGAGCCCATGTACCATTCTGGGAGTTGTAATGTCAGAGAGGGAGACAATGACTTATGAATGAAAGAGAAAGAAGGTTGAGAAAGAATTGAATAATTAACATTTTTGGAAAATTTTATTTCACCTTTGTGATCTGAGGATAACTAAAAGGGAGCCAGTAAAGCAGATATGTTTACACCTGGACTTTCGAGCAGACGAGGTGATTTCAGGTATATTGCTTTGAGATGATTTCCTATGTGTTTTTTAAAGTTGCCAAGGAATATTCCTCTAAAAACAGTCTTCATGTTGGTCAGCTCCCCACCATCCCCTTTTCATTTTCAAAAGGAGGAAAGGCACTTGCATGTAAGCAGGTTTTCCTTCTTCACTCTCACAAGTCTCACTGAGATATTTTGTAATTTAGTAATCCCTAAAATTGCTGAATATCTCTGTGTTTTCTAACTCTAGTAACACCACTGTTCTCTCCTTAGACTTACAATGTCAGCCACTATGGGTCAGGAAAAGTTTGATCAGCTTCTTAGTATTCTTCAATATTGATAAAAACATTTTTTACTTTCTGGACAGATTGGAAGAGGATAGTGTCATTGTTTTCTTGCTAGTGTTCTTGTTCAAATTATACTCATTTGAGGGTTGTGGGTTTTTGTTATAGTCTATTTGTTTTTGTTTTTTATGGGTATTTCAGTCATAGCATGAATGAGTATATGCATATTTTAAAAGCTGATAAATCTATGTAACTGTAAATTGCTCTTTTTCTTTTTAGAATATATTAATAACTTATATTGGAATGGTCTTTGGTGGAGATTATATTTTCACATGGACTAACTTCATTGGCTTAAATATCAGGTAAGTAAAACTGACACAGTAACTACTCTGACAAGTAGGATTTGAATATGCAGATGGTATCACAGTAAAACTGAGATATTGATTTAATGGGATGTTGTTCATTTATTAAACATTTATGGATCACTTCTGATGTACTGATGTTTTAGGTATTTACTGTCTCTAGATAATGCTGTTTAAGAAAGGGGGAGTAAATGGTTCTATATTCTGTGCATAGTATGTAGGGAATCTTGAACTCCTTTTAGCCTTCTAAGAGCAGTCCTTTTTTTATTATGCTGGAGGGCAGTGAAGTGGTCTCATAAAATTCAAGGCTAAAGAATACCAGTTCTCCAGACTGTAAGACCAAATTAGTGGTTTCCAGAAGGGAAGGGGAAAGGAGATGGGTCATTCAGGTAAAAGGTGTCAATTATATGATGAATGATAGAATTGGACTTAAGGTGATGAACTTAATGTAGCATATACAAATGTTGATTTTTTAATGATGCACACCTGAAACTAATATTATTTTATAATGCAATGATACTTCAATTTAAAAAATTTAAGAAAAAGAATGCTATATAAAAACCAAACTATGTGACAAGTCATTAGACTTCACTTTCATTGGATATCGTATGTCGTATCCACCATGCCACTTGTGATCTGACATCTCCCTTTTACTTAGCATGTTGTATTTAACTTTCATCTTTTTTTGCATGTTTTGTTGGTGGATGCTCTTTTGTTGCTAGCAGTATTGCATTATGGATATGTCACTGTATCAGTTCACAGTTTTTAGCTGTTTTGTTTACTAAAACATTTGTCTAGAAGTTTGTGTGTGAACTAAGTTTTCAATCCAAGATTTGCCTTGCAGGTCTTCATTCTCAACCTGTCTAGTGAATGGTAAAAGTGAATGCAAGAATTTTATTTTCATGTCCCTCATGATATATCATCACACTGGTTACATACTCTTAAGTCAGACTTTTGTATAACAGAAACTGTAGCTTGTAAGAAGTCAGCACCTACACAGTCTCTGGGTTGGAGCATGGGACTGCTCAGGACTTTGTTCAAGTTCATCTAGCACCTGAATCTACAGCTTCCTCATTTCTTCTTTGTCTGTTTCCTTAGAAGTATGTTTGCTTCTTAGTTGCAGACTGCTTCTCCTCTTGAATATTTCTGTCCTAGCAGGTTCTCTTCTAATCAAGATGCCTCCTGAAGTAAGGACATAAGGTCTTTCTTTGCTTAATGTTTTTCTCACTTGGAGAAAGAGAAGGACCTTGTGTGTATTATCATCTAGTTGTTACTCATGTAACATCTACAAGACCATTATTCAGAATTTTGACCAGGATGTAGGAGGCTAGCTAGCTCCTTGGTTATATCATAATTCCTGATAGAAGGTCACTGAACTGGAATGTAGCAAAAAATCTGTGTTCTATTGCTGGTCCTGTCACTAGTATCTATAATTCACTTTTCATTACCTCAGTTTGCTTGTTCTTACTTGTTGGGCTAGAGTTGTCTGTCCTAATTCTGCCATCTTCTTCTCTGACTCATCCTGAGGAAGTCCTGTGGAAACCACACCATGTGGTCAGTAGATCTTGCAGTAGATTTATGACATTTGAAGAAACTTACAATATGGTATCCTTTCAGGTTTAATTGAAGTATTCCATACACATTTGAAGGTTTTTTAAAAGACAAAGGAAAAAGAAGTACAGGGATAGGGGAGAAAATGATAGAAATACTGGAATAGCTTAGACTCATCCCCAAGTTGAGGAATAGTTCAAAAATGTCAAGAAAACCAAAAAAAAAAAGCTATTTTTAAATATGTATGACAGTCCTCCCTCCTGCCTGCCAAAAAAGTACACTAAAAAATAATAATAGATCGGTAACAAGTTTTTATGCTTATATTCTTCTCTTTCTTTACCCTTTCCATAGTGCAGGGTCTTTTAAAAAAGTCTGTGTATGTACATGGGGTCTCACCAAAATTGTGATCTTAACAGATCCTTTGCTTAGCTCATATCAGATAACAAAACACATACTATCCATGTGAAAGCAATGCATTCCAGACACCATCACACTAGGATTGAGGAACCTTTTATTAATTTTTAAAATTTTACTTCTGAGTATATTCCTAAAAGTTCTAGGCAGATGAAATGGAAAACATCCAGCCAGACTCCTGTGACTAAGTTACTTCTATTTTTAAAGTGTGCACAGACTGGCACTTACCACAGCATAGAAAGGACATAAATAGATATCTGAGAAGGCAACTGATAGGAAGTTAATGTTTGTTGAGTATCCAATATATGACAGCCACCTTTATGATGTCATCTCACTTAATCATCCCCCACTTCACATGATAATGAAATTGAGACTCAGGTAAAATAACTTGCTTAAGGTTAAGCTACCAAAGTAAGAAGCAGAACTGAGATTCTAATCCTGACCTGACTCTAAAAATCTGCTCCATAATTTCACCATATAAAGCCACATAGGATAAGAGATTAAAGGGCTATTCTTTGTATTGAACATTTCCAGAGTTTCCTTACTTACTTCCTGTCTTACCAATGATTTGTCTTTATTCTCCTGTCTCCTTTCACAGGCAGGTTGAAACAGAACTGTTGAACCTATTCTGTATATATGTTAAAGGAAGTGACTGCTTAGTGCATGCCATAGACTAATTTTTATCTTCAGGAAATTTGTAATCTAGCTGGGAAGATTCATTTATTCATAAACAAATATGTGGTAGGTACCCTCTGTGTACCAAACATGGTTTTAGGCATTGGGAAAAAAGCTATCAAAACTCTTGTTCTCATGGAGTTTTCATTCTATTAATTAGAGAAGAAAAAATGAAAGAAGATTAAGTGAGTGAGATATTTGCTGGTGATAAATAGTAAGGGAGAAAAAATAAAGCAGGAAGGGGACTAACGATTGCTGGGGGTGGGGTGGGCTGGCGGGAGTAGAATAGAGACCATAATAGATATGAGCACAGCAATTACTGCTTGTAGTGCTACAAAGTGTTAGACCTAAAGTGCAAAGTACTCTGCAGAGCTAAGAGTAATGCCTTGGGAAATTTATGTACTGATAGGAACAAAATAAGGACTGGTATCTGCAGTATCTGATACTGGTATTTGCAATATCTGATACTGGTATCTGCAATAGCGAATGGAGCAGGGACCATAAAGAAAGGGAAACTTTTGTAGTGGAGAAGATCAGACTGATTTGGGATTTATTCTGGTCCATCTTTAGGATGCAGTTGTGAGACTGAGATATTTGATTCTGGGACTCAGTTTCTTCATCTGTAAAATGAACTTCTTGCTGGGATATTGTGATGCTGGGAGGTTTATGTTAAATCCTGGGTGCGTAGTAGGCTTCAGTAAGTGCTGTCAGTGCCTGGTCTTGCTTCCTTACTCATGGAAGTGGGAACTAGACCTCTGTCACCTTGTTCCAGTGGTCTGGGGCTTGGACACCAAAGCTCCGAAGAGAACAGAACTAATTTCAGATAAGTAGCAAGTTTATGAGTGAAGTGGTCAGGCAGTTATATTGGGATCAAAGCCAGGACAAGAAAATCTGAAAGCGGAGCCTAGGCCAGGCTGCCAGCTGGAGACTGGAGTGAGTCATTGATGGCGGACTCAGTGGAACATCAGGTCAGGACAACTGGGAGTGTCTGCTCTGTGAGCTGTTCCAGTTTATGTTCAGCTTAGTGGTGGGCAGGAGGCTGTGTTTCCTAGGTGGGTTTGAGGTTCCCATAGAGAAGAGGCAAGAGTATTCACTATCCCCAAAGAGTTAACCTTTCTGGTGGGTGTGGAAGACAACTGAGGGGTTTTAAGAACCAGCTCAGGGGATGAGGGCTCAAATGATACATTCTTCACCATGAACTCGACTGTAGTCAAAGAGAAACCAGCTCTGTGAAACCTCCCAAGGTCCCCATGTTCACAGCTCATTGGGATGTTTCCAATTCTTATTAAAGATAGCTTTTATCTTGAATGATTATTTTTGAAAATTCAGAAAAAGCCAAAAAAATCACCTGTCATCTCACCATCCAGTTGTAACTGTCATTAATATTCTTGATGTGTGTTCCTTTCAGACTTTTTTCTATTCTGATACATATTGATGTTCATATTCATGTTTGTTTTAATAGCGATTATACAATGACGTAGTGTTTTGTAAGGTTTTTTCATTTGAGATGTCATTGCCTGTTTTCATTTTAATGGATGCATAATATTATTGAAGGAATTTATTTAATTTCCCACTGTGGGATATATACCCTCTAATTTTTTTTGCTGTTACAAATTTTGTGGTGAATATTTTGTTGATAAGTCTATGAGGATGTACACAGTTCGTCCGTGAAATAGACTGATGACTAGGTCAACAGATGAGCAGAATTCTAAGGTTTGTTATTTCAACGAATTGTTTCTAGAAAGGTTATATAAAACTGGCACTCATACTGTCAAGTATATGCAGACATTCATTATCACAAAGCATTAAGAACCATGGGTAGTATCGTAACAAGGATTGTCTCTAGTGGTTGAAAATGCAATTATCTGTTTTAATTTTATGTGCTGTTGATTTATAAAGGAAGCTCCAACCCGCACCCCAATCTCATTTGCATTTGCCATGTTCCTGATGATAGTTTCCTGTTTTGCAGTATTGCTGGGAGCCTGGTGTATTCCTACATCACTTTCTCTGAAGAGCAGCTGAGCAAACAGTCAGAGGCTAGCAACAAGCTGGACATTAAAGGGAAAGGAGCAGTATGACCAGTGGGTTGTTTCTGTTACGTAGGCCAAGTTTTCCATCGGCTGGGAACTCTGGCAGTTCTTACAGATCCTGAGTGTTTTGATCATGGAGAAAACACCATTCCTTTGCACTTATCCAATCTGAGGATTGATTGCTGCCTTTTAAAATTTTATGAGAGAAACTTATAATTGACTATTTTTAATGTGCCATTTGAATTAATTTATATCAGACTGGAAAATGTACCAGGCTTTTTTAATTTATTTTTCTTCTGCCGACAGTGAAACATCAGTGTTTTGAAAATATTTTATTCCATTGGTTGATAACAAGGTGTCCCTGAGCGCTGTATATGTGAAGTGCTCCAGCTGGAGCCTCATCATTCAAATCGTTGGCTGCATTTGAGGGCAGCGTAGCCTGCCTTCTGCTGGAAATACAGCCGAGCATTTGAAGTTCTTCTTTCAATTTATTTCTCTACGATGACATTTTCTTCATATCGATAGCTTCACTGCATTTGCGAAAATCGACTGTGTTGGCCCTAAAAAAAAAAGAATACGTGGGACTTTGAATTGTATTGGTTTTTATTTGGCTTGTCTGAAAAGTCACCGGATTAAGGGTGCATTCCTTGAAAATACACTATTCCCTTTATTGTGTAGGATGGGCATATGATGAAGGGGTGGAGGAGAAGTAGGCCTTTTAATCATTTATTTGTCTCTATGATTCATTCATTCAGCTTAAGTTATTGAATACGCAATATGTGCCAGACATGGTGCTAAGTGCTTGAGATACATAGCTGTTTCTGGGTAGTTGAATAACCTCAGTCCTGAGGTAGTGACTGAAAGCATGACAGAGAACTTAGCTCTGTTGCTCCATTTAGAAGATGTTGAGACTATGAACAAGTCACAGAAAGTTTTTACAATTCTCAGAAACTACGTATCTGTAAATGAGGTTAGGAACACCTCCCCTACCTACTCTGCAGTGCTGAGTCCAGATGCAACAGCATGAGATTAAATGCATGTGAAGAGCTGCCTTTTGTAAACCACGTAGCTCAGCTCCTCTTCTCTGAGAAATGGCAGCAGGTAAGGTGACTACTATTTGTTTCCCCATGCTTCCCTCTTCTGGGGGTTGGGTTGCTATTCTTTTTACTCTTTAAATCAGTTTGACTAAGTGTTACCTTTTGGAATGTATTGGTTTGGGGACAAAGGCAGGTTACATGTTTCTGCGTTCAGGCCTCAGTCTCACATCACCTTTTTCTTTCTGTAAGTGGCATGAGCATAACTCCCTACTGTGGACACTTCCACCTACATCTCATGTCTCTTAGTTCATTTAATGAGCAGACAAGCTTCTCTTATGATCACTGCTGCATCTGGGAGAATAGTTGGAGATGGGCGTTGCCTGGATTGCCTCTTTGGGAAGGGGTCAAGGTACGAAATTCAAACAGTCCTGTGATTGGTTCAGAGACATTGACTTGTGGATGAGTGTTTGCATGGGCCACTCTGCTGGGGACCTTTGCAGTGAAGCACATTCTATCTTCTGTGTCATAAGGTTTGGAATCCACTGGGATCTGTTGACCTAAACAATTAGCATTTAGGTTTTTCAACAGGAGACCTAGACTGTTTTGTTTCTTTTTGAAGATTTACATTGAGGTCATTCTTATATTCATGGCTTTCCATTATTTTGGTTTGTTTTTATTACAGTCTGACCAGTGGTTCTAGTCATTAGAATTGGCCTCATGGCCCAATAGTTACCAGCTCCATGTAAGAGGTCCTTTGTCACACGTTTCTCTAAACACCTGAGAAAATTCTAGTGGGAGAATAGAATATTATCTGTGTCAGGTGGTTCTTACTGTTCCTCTTTTACCAATAAGAAAACTAGACTCAGAGAAAGAACGAGAATTTCTAATAGGTCAAAATTCATGTTTTATCTGTTGCACCATATTGCCATGAACTGCTCTTCTCTTCTGAGTGGAAAAAGGGGATGCTAGCTCTTTCAAGGAGGCAAGTGGTTGACTGAATGTGGAGTCAGAGAGGAATGGACTTAGCAATTTATGCTCTTTAAATGCCAGAGGCCTGCTTGGTGTCTCTCTTGGAATATGTCCGCCTACTTCATCCCTCTAGAATGCTTAAGTAATGGTTTGTGTTCACTGTCTTCTTTTTAAAATACCCACTGGACATAGTTGTGGACATTGTGATGCAGGTGGTTCCACCTGCTTTTCAAAAAAAAGTCAAAAATGATTCTCATTTTGATGGTAAATTTCAAATGGGAAATGATTTTCTGTCTTAGGGAAAGCTGATCACACTTCAGAATGATGATTCAATTAATTTCCTGGTTTGCTACCTTAAGGTAGCTCCTTTCAGGCTGGATATTCCTGCTCCAAATTAAACACGTGTGTCCAGGTTTATCTCAGTTAATGGTGTTTGTGAATCTCTGGCATCACCACTGTTTCCTAAACCTGTTACCTTGTTCTGTTAGGCTGCCACTTCATTGTGATATGAGATGTTTTATGGTGTTTTTTGTTTTTTTAAGCTTTGTTTTTTGAAAATACTTTTTAAAAAGAAATCTACTGGTTAGATTTATTGTCTCACAAAATGTTTGTAGAGATTATTTTGTTCATAAATGTTTCTCATGCTGATCAATTGATTTTTGTCTACAAATGACCTATCAATATTTTTTCAATATAGATTCTATTTACTAAATGATCATTTTTGTTTTTTAAAGGTACTGAGGATTAAGATATGTAAATCAGGTAACATAAACATGAAAACTATGTGCCTAAATATTTTTGTAAAGGTGTCAAATAAATACTTTTTCTGAATACATGTATTAAAAATTCCTTTCTAAGTGAACAAAATGATAACCGAAAGCCATAAGTCTGCCCGCATTGAAGTGGATAGCATCTAGTTAATTGAACCCAATAAGAGAAAATACCATTGTGATATTGTGATTTATAATAAAAAATATATATTTGGTCTTGGTGCCAAATCCTGGCACATAACTCCTCAAATTCTTGAAATTTCCTATATAAGAATTATAGGAACATATTTTGTTATAGTTTTGTTCTCAGTTCATGAAATATCTTGAACCAATAAAAGTGAAATGGTTATCACACCTGAGTTTATATTAATGAAGTGATTTTTGGAAAGCCCGTAAGTATGGGGGCTGGTACCAAGAAAACCAACCACTGTTATTAGTTTGGAACTTTTAGCACCCCCACCGGGATCCCACCCCTGCTTCCCAGCTTCTAAGTAAGGGGACAGGAACTGGAGGTTGAATTTAATGGCCCATATGATTTGTGTCAATGCATTAAACCTCAAAAAAATCCCGGAACAGTGTGGTTTGGATAGTTTATTAGTATTGTCTGTTCACATGGTAGTACAACTTGTTTTCAGAACTTGCTCATCTTAAAAAGCTGAAACCCATACTCATAAACAGCTCACCATTTCTCCCTAGCCCCTGGCAACCATGATTCTACTTTTTTGAATGTTACTACACCTTGTATAGGTGAAATCATACAGTATTTATTTTTTTTTGTAACTGGTCTATTCCACGTAACGTCCTGAGTTTTCATCCAGTGTGGCATGTCAGAACTTTATAAGATGGAATAGTGTGCCATTATGTGTATATACCACATTTTGCTTATCCATTTATCCATTAGTGGGTTGCTTCCACCTTTTGGTTTTTATGAATAATGCTGCCAAATGTGGGTGGCTTAGTCGATTTGGGCTACTGCAACAAATTAACAGTCACTGTGTGGCAGAACATTTATTCTTCACAGATTTTGAGGCTCGGATGTGAACAGCCAAGGTTCGAGAAGACCTGATGCATGGTGAGCCCTCCTTTCAGGTTTGTAGATGTCCATCTTGTAAGTGCACATGGCAGAGAGCAGAGAGAAGCTCTCTTCTCTTATAAGGGCACTAATCCTATCATGAGGGTTTCACTCTCATGGCCTAATTACCTCCGAAATGTCTCAACTACAAACACCACCATATTGAGGAGTAGGATTTTAATATTAATTTGGGGTTGGGGACACAAAATACCTTGTAATAGATGTACAAGTATGCATTCAATTTCCTTTGGGAATTGCTGGGTCATACAATAATTCTATTTTTCGTTATTTTTAAGAACTGCCATACTGTTTCCCATCATGACTGTACTATTTTACATTCTCACCAAGGGCCACATCCTCACCAGCACTTGTTTGTTTTATTAATAGTAGGCATCCAAGTGGGTGTCAGGTACTCTCTTCTTGTGGTTTTGTTTGTATCAGTGACTGTGACTAGTGGTAGTGAACATCTTTTCATGCTTGTTGGCCATTTATATATTTTCTTTGGAGAAATGACTATTCAAATCCATTTCTTTAATCAAGATTTATTTTACATTCTGAATTCTGACACCTTATCAAATACATTATTTGTAAGTATTTTCTCATTACATAGGTTGCCTTTTCATTCTTGTTTGATGCAGTTTTAAATTTTAATGTAGTGCAATGTATCTATTCTTACCTTTCTTGACCTTGATTTGGTATCATATATAATAATGTCTTACAAAGCTTAACCCTGTTTCCTGAAAAGGTTTTTTTTTGTTGTTATTGTTTTTTATTGAGGTAATGTTGGTTTACAACATTGTGTATGATTTTGGAGTATATATTCATACCTCTTTAGATGTTTCCATACCATGCCCATTGCTGTTGTATGTGTCTTTATATTCATTCATCTTCAGGTGTGTTTAAATTTCTCCTTTGATTTCTTCATTAACTAAATAAGTATTCAAAGGCATGTTGTCTCCATTATTGATGGTTTTCCTTTTTTGTGGTTGACTTCAAGTTCAAAACTGTTGTAATCAGAGAAGATACTCGATATTCCAGTTGTCATACATCTGTTGACACTTATTTTGTGACCCAACATGCGGTCTACCCATGAGAATGTTCTATATGCATTTGAGAAGAATGTGCACTCAGCTTTTCTGGGAGGGGTCTATTATTGTCTGTTAAGCCCATCCGGTATGCTTGTTGATTAACTGTACACTGATGTAAAGCGGGGTGTTAAGGGCTCCACTGCTATTGTGTTGCTTCTTAAGTTTAGTTCTTACATCCATTTTTATTTAATTTTTTTGCATGTGCTATATGAAGTGAATATCCTTTTTTCATGACAGCATTTGTTGAAGCGACTGTAAGGCATGTGTTTTAATCAGCTTTTAAAAATTCTCTTAGAATGAGACTCTTCTAATTTGTAAGATAGCTGCTCTTTCGACTTTTACTGATTTCCTATCTAGCCTGACTTCCTTGCAGCACAGCGAGGACTGTCAGTGGGCAACACCCACAGAAGAGGCACTGTTGATGGCAGCAGAGCAGATCTGGTGCCTTTGTGCATCCACAGCAAGTTATCTGGTACGAGGCACCCCCAGGACTACTTCCTTATAGTTCTCATCGCTGGGAGACTACCTCTGTTTATTCATTCATCTGTCAAGCTAGACTGAATCAATGAGGCCAGCATCAAGACTGGCAGAGTTCTGGCAGAACTGCATTTTTTTCACAGATTAAGCTCAGTGACATACAACTGCCCAAAGTGGTTACAGAACACATTTTTAAACCAGTCAGTCTGACTCAAAACACCTTTGCTTTTCACTACTATATTAGGTGCTTGTTTCTTCTAGTCTGCTTATAACAAACTTGGCAGTTGTGAGCTCATTACCATTATATGTTTGTCAAATGCCATTTTCATTGAAAGTTCACAAACATGGCTTTAGAGGGTAGGCATGAGACTGGCTGAATGTGAGAAGGCAGAGCAGATATGCTTTTCCAGCTGTGCTGATGGTGCCCTCTTGTGGCAACAACTGCTGATGGGGGTTAAAAAGCAAGTTGGTTCCCTAAGGAGGAATAAACTTGACTTAGAACCTACTATATGCACTTTGTCAAATTAGGCTTTTATCGGGGCTTTTTACACTACAACACTTCACTATTGCACAAATGGTGGCTAAAGCAAGACTAAGCAACATCAATTTTCTAACCTACAATGCGTTACTCTTGAATGCAAAGGTCTGAATTAGGAAACTAGAAGGTGAACAGAATCAAAATCATTGTCTTTCAGTTTTTTAAGGAGGCTCGGTGTCCCAATTTGTAAATTGGGGGAAGTGTTGTGAGGATTGATTTATAGTGAGTGTTGAGCATGTTGCCCACGGCCATCAGTCAGTAATGGCACATATTTGCAGTAAGCTTGTTTGAGCTGTCCAGTGACGCTTGTACTATGACCAGCACCTACACCTTGTGCTCCCGACTGTTCTAACCAAATGAATCCAAAAGGAGTTGTAGTTCATGAGGGAGGGACAGTGGCCACAGTAATAGGACGGCTAATAGTACTTTACTTTTTGTGCTACAGGGATTGGCCAGTGCATGGGCCTAGGGCCCAAATTTTGAATATGAAAACTATAAAGTGAAGTTTATAGGAAGAAGACAGAGTCATCTCACCTTGTCTAAGATGCTCCATCTAATTTTGGACAAGTCATTTTTCCATTTGAAATGAGGGGACCCCCACAGCACGGTGGAATAGAAAGTTTGGATCATTCTCTTCCCTAAACACAACTAAAAGGAAAATAAAAATAAAATTAGCTCAAGGAAGATTTGATGGCCCATCCACAGGGATGGAAACACTTCCTGGAGGTTTTGCCCTGAGGTTGCTGCTTGCTGTGGGGAGAGTGAAGAGGTGAAGGAGCTCATAGCCGGGCTGAAAGAACAGGGGGTGGTAAGTACTGTTAGTGAATTGTTTTGGAGGGAGTGATGCAGGAGGATACACACACGTGTAGGACCTCAGGGCTGGGAGTATGTCAGCAACAGGTTCAGTTGCTGGGACTTCAGTGGCCGTGAAGAGTGGGCAAGGGAAGCTCCCTACCCACACCGGGAGGACTTGGTGGTGGCGGTGCACAGAGATGCTCCAGGTTCATTCGTGGAGAATCGGCAACAGACAGAGCAGGTGGGAGACATCACTCCACAAATTGGCAAAAATCCGAGTGAGTGAACTATATTGCAAATAGAATCCAGCAATATATTAAGCAGTCTGGGCCCCATGTGCAGCGGTGGGCAGCCATTGCAAAGGGATACAAGTCACACAGTCTGTGCCAGGTACCCCCTGCTGGGCAGCATGGTGGGGGGTGCTCTGCATCTCACACCTGGTACCTTGTCAGGTGATTCACACTTGGTGAAACAAACCCCATATCATAGAGGGGAAGAACAAGGAGGTGGGATGGGAATTTAGGATCCCTGAAAGTTAAAAAAGTCTTGAAACCAAGAGCTAATTGTTTGAAGGGGTAAAAAAAATTGACAAATTTAGCTAGGCTTACTAATGAAAGACAAAAAAAACAATCACAGGTGAAAGAGGTAAAATTATAACAAATGCCACAGTAATACAAAGGATCTTAAGCATCTACTATAAAAATCTCTATGCAAACAAAATGAAAATTCTGGAGTGGATAAATTTTTAAAATCAAGATTGAACCCAGGACAAATAGCTTAAACAGACCAATCACAAATGTACAAATTGAAAGAATAATCAAAAGTCTCCCTAAGGACATAAATCCAGAATAACATGGCTTCTCTAGTGAATTCTACCAAACCTTCAAAGAGGACCTAATACCTATCCTAGTTGAACTATAAAAAAAAAGCACATTTTATGAAGCTAGATCCCAGAGCCAAACAAGGGCTGCACAAAACAAAAAACAAAAACAGAAAAACTATAGGCCATTATCTATAATGAACATAGATGCAAAAATCTTTAACAAAATCCTAGCAAATAGAATCCAGCAATATATTAAGAGAATCATACATAATGATCAAGTAGGTTTCATTCTAGGGATGCAAAGTTGATGCAACAGATGCAAATCAATTGGTCAGTTACTAGATCATAAAAAAGGATAAAAATCACATAATCATTGGAACAGATGCCAAAAAAGCATCTGACAAGCTTCACACTTATTTATGATAAAAACCCAATAAAATGGGAACAGAGAAAACTTATTGGAACATAATAGAGAATATATACAATAAACCCACAGCCAACATCATACTAAATAGTAAAAAGGCATTTCTATTAAGATCAAAAACAAGACAAGGATATCCACTATCACCACTATTGTTCAACATAGTTTTGAAAATCCTAGTTAGAGCAATTAGGCAAGAAAAAGATATCCAAATTGGAAAATATGTGAAAATATCACTATTTGCAGATGGCATGATGATAAAAAAACCTAATATACCCAAAATAATAAAGTGGAATATAAAATCAATACACAAAAATCATGCATTTCTATGTGCAAGTAGTGGGTTAAAAACAATTTTAAAAAATCCCATTTATAATCACAGCAAAAAGGTTGAAATACCCAACAGTAAATTTTTTTTTAAAGATTTATTTATTTATGCATACAAGAGCTGCGGTACAGGCCAGAGACACGGGGTGGGGGGGTGTGTGTGTGAGAGGATTCACCAGAAAAAGAGTGGGGAACAGAACAGGCAGACTGAAATACACTGTTGAGGGGAGCAGCGGGCGAGTCAGGAGAGGTCTGCTGCGCCATGTGGGTTGCTCCCTGGCAGGCCAGGGATCGAGCTCGTGCTGCAGAGGCTGTGGATTGCTTCATAGTACGGTGCTTAACCCCTTGAGCCACCAGGAATACCCCCCACCCCCCCGCCAAAGAGTAAATTTAATGAAGGAGGAAAAAGACCTGTATGTTACAAACTACACATCACTGTTAAAGGAAATAAAAGACACAAAGAAATGGAACGATACCCGGTATTTATGGATTGGAAGACTACACATTGTTAAAAAGGCCATATTACCTAAAGCAGTGTATAGGCTTAATACAATATCAAAATCCCAATGATTTTTTTTTCAAGGAAATGAACAATTACAAAATCTATATGGAACCACAAAAGAGTCTGAATAGTCAAAGCAATCCTAACAGAAAAGAAGAAAAATGGGCCTCCCCTGGTGACGCAGGGGTTGAACGCTGGGCTGCGAGGCTGCCTGCAGTCTCGGCAGCGCAGGTTCTACCCCTGGCCACTGGCGGGGGTCCCACATGGCACGGCAGACCTCTCCTGCCGCGCCCGCTGCTCCCCTCAGCAGTATATTTCTTCGTCAGTCTGCCTGTTCTGTTCCCTGCTCTGGCTCTGGTGGATTCTCTCACCCTCCCGCGCTTCTGACTGTGCCCAGTGCTTGTATAAAAATAAGTAAATCATGTTTTTTTTTTTTTTTAAAGTAAGTCTTTCTCTGGGGAATTCTACATTTATTTCATGTTAATTTTTGCTAAGGAAATCTTAGCTAGAATATATGGCAAAGGGTCTGGTCAATTCTTTTCCCTGATTGTCCCTACTCTTCCTTTCGTTTTCCTTTCCTTGTGTCGCCACACACTTCTGAAGGAACACTTACCTGTTAATGCCTTTTGAACAAAAAAAAATGAAGTCACAAGCCAAGCACAGTGGCTGGTATAAGGATAGGCCCAAATATTTGCTGGATAATAAAATATATAGAAACCTGATTAAAAAAATTGTCACTGCTGCCATTTAAATATGGAATTTTTTAACCTCAAAGGACAAAGAATTAAGATTCAGCTCCAGTTTAAACAGTAATTCTTCAATGTTCCTCATAGAATAGTCTCTAGTGTGTCCAAATTTACTTCTTAACTCAGAGCAAGCAAACGACATTTTGAATGTATTATACATCAGAGCTAGCATAAACGCAAGTGCCAACTTAAAAAATAAGCATGTTCAAAAAAGAAAAAAAACTTGTGTACAAAAACTGCCAGTACAATATTAAGGGTACATAATGAATGAGGTTATGGATATAGGTATTAGAGGATAAAGAGGCAAACCTAGATATTTAAATACATAAATTAGCTTGTAATTTAGGGGGAAGATCCTTCAAGATTTTGCAAAGGATAAACTTATTAAAGAGCAGAGTTAACTTTATGGTAAAAAATATAAATAATCAGTAGAAGAATGTGACACGAAAGGGCTGTTTTTAGAAAAGAATAAAAAGTTAAAATTTGAAAAGTCCTTATTTTCCCCTATATTTTACAGCTTTCAACATCAGCATTTTTCATGAATATGGATTATACTTGGGAAAGCCTTAGTATTTCTGACTTGCTATTGAGTAGCGATACAGAATCAGTTATATAACCCCCACAGGTCATCAGCACACATCCTGCCTTTAGAAATTCTCCAACCATCACTAACCAAAGTGCTCATTCTTTTCCCTTGAAAGCAAAGCAAATACCGTGACAAAAAGTTTTTGCAAAATAGTATGTGATATAAACTACACTGAAAAAGAAAGGAACAAAATATTTTTAATTATACAGTTCAGAGAAAGAGAAACAGGTGAACAGAGGTGCATAGACCAAAGGATTTCTCTGAAGGGGAAAAAACAAACAAACAAAATATATCACCCAAGATGAGGTAAAAAGGACCAGAAACCACTGAAACACTACTTCATGCATTATGTCTAGGAGCACAAGGAACAGAGATTGTATATATATGCATTGTAAACAATGTACATCATACAAACTTAAAAGCTATAATGAAAACCTAGTGAATCAGACTAATGAAAATCATTCACACAGCATTATATAGGCAAGTATGTTTAAAAAAATATTTTAATAAGCATATTCAGAATGGCAGACAGGGAATGGGAGAAGAGAATTATTTTACAGTGCAAAATTACTATGCATAAATTTAAAAACATCTAATTCATAATTTTAATGCCTATTTAAATATTCAAATACATTTTAAAGCTTAACAGATTTGTGTTTAAATCCTATTCGAAAATATTTCACAAAACAAAACCATTCCAAATGAAATGATAGTGCTTTGCTAGGTTTGGGGTGGGGTAGATTAACTATTAACAAAGGCTTCTAAAACCAATGTAAATGTTCAAGAGTTTGAGAGTTATGAAATGTACTAGATCTTAAGCAAATTAAATTCATGATATCACTAAAAATTTTAAAGTAGTGCAATGACTTATTAAGTTATAGTGGCTGCATTATGAAGAACAAAGTATTCTGTGAAATGCCTGTATAAACACAAAATGCACTTAAATATTTCTTTATGAAAAGCTGAGCATTATTATAATAGTGGAATGTCTTTCATTAGGTATACCTTAAAAAGATGAAAAGTAGAATTCTTAATATGTATACATGTGCCATATTTGCAAACATGCCTGAGAATTTATTAAAAATGTTCCTGTAATATTATTCTGCAAGAACTTCATAAATCTGCAAACAAAATGCATCTTGTAAAAAAGGTGAAAATAGCATTCTAATATCACAACAATCTAAGAAGTATTCACTATTCATTTGAAATATTTCTATAGATCATTTTTGACAAAGAGCTAGGATATTTTGGATTTGTTTAATAAAATCTGATTTAGAAAATGAATTGTTCTTACCCCTGTGGCCTGAGTTAGCGCCTGGCTGGCCAGAGAGCTAATCCTCATTTAAAAAAAAAAAAAAAAAAAAGATGGATTGTGACCATCTGCTAAAGCTGCCATTCTGGATAAATTAATGTTCTAGATAAAGCAAAACAAAAAAACTCACACTTCACCCAAAACTTAGATTTACTTGATATGTATATAAAACAGTGAATGTACTTTATATGAAGTCAAGTGTTGTAAAGTGGCTTTTAACACTGTTTGGGGGCAGGGGGAGAGTTGTTCACATTGGTGAAGGGAAGCAGTCTAAAATACTTCATGGGGGAAGGCCTAAACCATAATTTCCCAATGCAAAGCTCTATTCAATTGCATTAGACAGTTGAGATCACATTGCCTATTCAACTGACAGCAGAAAAGGACAGAAAAGCATTTGGGGTATGCCTGTATGATTAAAAACAAGAATAGCTAATAATCTTTTATAAAAGTTTGGATATAAGTTGGTCTATCAGCTGTATAAAACTACACTTTTTAACAAGAAATTTGCACTAAAATAAAATGGCACTCCTGCAAGGCTATGCAATGGATGGTCATATTTGTAGTCCATGTGCAGTACATACTGAACTTACCAGTTTGGAAATTATGAAATCTGAAAAACTGGATTGTAACTGGAAAAGTCTAAAAACTTTTCTAACTATACTATCTCCTTATTAAAACAATATTTTTTTGCTTGCCAACTCCTTGTGTGTGCCAATATCTAAATATCACTTGACTTCTTCCTCTGTTAACTAAGTGCAAAAATGGGAAGTTTTATAATGCATATAAAAATAACTCAACAGGATTCTGGTCAGCATGATACATTTAAGCACTTACACTAACATTAAACTTTTGCTTAAAAATAATTTTGAAAACTATAGCAAATGCAAAAAAAAACAAACTATGCAGTCTAAGTATCATGCTTAATTTCAGAATTCTCAAACTATTTGTCCTTAAGTAGAAATTTGAAGGGAAAAAAAAATGTGCACAATCCTTTATGAATTACCACCTGGATAAGAAACATGACTTAATTACTACACAAACACTTAAAAATTCATTAGAAAAACCTTAGCAAAATAAAATGAAAGCTGACAGACTCAGAATAGCAATTCTGCTCATAAAAGTTTACCAACTGTACAAGTTAAGAAAATTATACAAGCTTTTGTATTAAGAAAGGACAGCTCCAGTCAAGACATATGTACTGTAAAAATCTTTCAAAGGCTACAAAGAATCTGGAAAAATACAGAATGTATTTCTTAAGCCCAGATAAGAATATGGAAAGACATCATTGATGTCAACAATTTTACATATACAAACCTGACTTGGTTTATTTTTAAACTTCTATATATAAAAAAATCATGCTAGCATAACTTTCAGGATTTATAAGGGTTTCCTTAATAATGACACTCAATTTGTATGGAGAGAACAATGTCTGTTATAAATGACAAGACATTTTAAGAAACTCAGAAAAACTGGTATTAAGCAGAAATTTGAACTTGGTTTTTCTCTGCCATCAAACTAAGCAAGAAGTACTTTGTAGTGAAACTTTAGGATTAATACATCAAATGAGAAGATACAGATGAATCTTTTAGTTCATTCAAATTTACTAAACTATTTGTTAATATCCTTAAAAAGGTCTTTACAGTTTTAAAGTAAAATGTCTGCAAAAGGCAGAACTATGAAATCTTATTTACTAAGGTTAGGACTCAATTCAAATTTTAACAAACTGCTTCATGGAAATCAACTTTTTAAGGTAACCCATCAACCCTGAAAATTTTAGTCACACCAGAATTTACTCCGAGAAAGTAAACTAAGCCTAAAATTTAGTCATCTGTGTTTTCAAGTTCTTCAAATTTTCCATGAGAGACTGCTTCCTGGAAAAATTCAGAAGACCCTGGACTTTCTTTTCCATTGCTGTTTACCCTTCTCCTTTTGGCAGGTCTCTCACTTTTTTCATCAAATTCATTTTCATTTCGTGCAGTCATGTGGGCCAGTTTTGGGTCAGTGGTAAGGTTATCTGTCTCATAACCATTAGTATCCATATCTGCGTGAAGTGGTTTCTTACTTCCACCTGTTGGTCCATTCATGTGTAACCCTTCAACTTTCACTTCATCTTTGTTTAATGTTTCACCTGGTCCATTAGATGACACCCCTATGTTGGAAGAGACATAAATGAAACTGCTAATATTAAAAAGTTAAATTTGTAAACTATCATGAAATAGCTATTATAAAATAACTTTCCATCAAAGAAGTGAGGTACCAAATCATACATACATAGCCTGAATTCTGACTCTATAGTTGTGTGACTTTGGGGAAAATATTTACACTTTACCTCAGTTTCATCACATACAAATGAGGATTTATCTCTTCTTATCCTTTAAGGTTATTATACTATCAAAGACAGAAATATTCAAAACAGTGCCCTTGTTATGTACTTATTTTCATCTATGTGCTTAAAGCTCTTTCCTGAGAAAATATCAAATCTCAAAGTACTTCATAAATAACTGTACATATCTGATATGAAATGTCTGGAGCTTGAGCCTAAGAGTTAACATAAATACTTATAGCTAGGCATCCCCATTGATATGAAAATTTAATGCTATTTAAAAAGAATAAATTTTTTAAAAGAAACAGTCACTATTAATAGTACACTTTATTAAACTTACTGTTTTTAGTGTTGTAAGTAGGAGTTCTTTCTGTCAATTTGTATTGTGCAGTGTATGTATGTTTGCTGATTTTATGTATGCTTCTTCTAGTATATAGAATTACTTTTACTTCCACTTTGAAAGTTTAATAGAAACTGAATTTCCCAGGCTATTGAAAGAGAAGTGTCCTTTGTCATGAAGAAATAGAAGTGTTTTCTTTGGTTGCTTACCATTTTGATTACTACTGCTGACAGTGCTCTCTTCTTTCTCAGACTGGCTGTTACTACTGTTTGAGGCAGTTGGGGGAGGGGATGGTGCCCGACTAGAAGCAGCACTTTCACTTTCATCTAGAAGTCGATCCATGTAATCCCTTAAAATTAAGTAAAATAACGACAATTATTTTCTTACATCAAAAAGCTGAAGATTAAATAAATGCAGTTAAGTTCAGAAGGTTTTATTACAAAATATATTCTAATTTTCACTTACATTCATTCCAGTGCCTCATCTATTATACCAGGATCTGAACATTTAAACAGAAAGTTCCCTTTGGTTACATGTTTGTTGAAAAAATGCACAAAGGCTTTACAGTAGCATATTTTACAAAGATCTATAGGGAGTTAAAAAAACTTAACACTGTAAGCAAGTGCTCAAAGTGGCCAATTAAAACCAGAGGATCTGTGAATGAAGACACAGGGATGATGTCAATCAGAAAAACTACAAAGGAATTTTTGGACAGAGAGTGGGATTTTAAAGCTCCTAAAGACTATTTGATGGCCACTGCAATACCCGAAAGACAAATCAGGCATCATAATCACCACACTGAAGCTTCTTGGATACCTTCTAAGTACAGAAGGTATTTCCACCAGATCTGAGCTATAATAAGCTAAGTTCTTGGGTTTATCTGCTGGCTTTATCCTGCCACTATATTAGAGGTGAGAACTCAGTTTTTCCCTAAACTACAAGGCATGGAAAGATAACCTGGTAAGTGACACTGTTTGGTTAGAAGATGGAGCTAAATATTTATGTCTCTCTTGTTTAGTGCCTTTACCTATAAAATGCATGTAAATCGTATCTGACCTATCTACCACACAACAAAGGGTTGTTGTATATGTGCAGTAAAGTGTTTTGTAAACAGATGCTATTAAGTCACTAAAATAAAGGTCAGCAAACTATGTCCTGTATGCTGGCCACCTGTTTTGTAACATCTTACTGGAACATAGTATCATTCATTTATTTATCGTATCTATGACTGTTTCTGTGCAAAATCAGAAAAATGAGAACTGAAGGCCTGCACAGCCTAAAATATTTATTCTCTAGCTCTTTAAAGAAGTCTGCCGACACCTGTACTAGATTAATTCCCTGAGGGCTGGAGTTTAGTTTAACTGGTACCTAAGTTGTGCTATGTAACTTAGGTTAATAAACTTGGAAACTCAATAAAAACGCAAATACATTATTTATTTTAAAGCCCTCTCAGAACAAGAATATTAAGAAGTCTTTTAGAGTTTTGTAAGCAGGGTAAATAAAAATGGGGATAAGAAGTAAATGGTGGAAGTGCTTAGGATTTTACTGAAAGCCTCTGGTAATAGTTTACAAGAGGCCCATTAACTATAGTTATAATCTCAAACCACAGGATTATTTCTGTCCCCTTGGTTATGAAGATGTAATAAACACAGAAACAGTACCTGGCCTCACAAAGCTTTCAACAGTGTGAGGTACAAAACTGACATATATCAAAGAAACATATATCGTCATAAATAAAACCAACATTCTAAGCCTTATTTTCCTCATCTATAAATGGAGGGAACTAAATTAGATGGCCTTTAAGGCCATTATAGGTTTTTGCCACTCATCATAATTACAAAACATTATATAACAAATTGGAAGCACACAAAAACAGAAATGAGAGCATGAAGACATACAAAGCTGAGATAAACAGAAACAAATGATGCATGAAGCGAGATTGCTGGAAATAAATTTGGTATGGTGGGAATAGACAGTAATGTTGAAAGCCAAGCAAAGGAGTTAGAGTTGACTAGAAATCAAAATTATCTTAAATTTCTGAATATGGAAATAACACTGTCAAAGAGTCATCATTATTTGTTAAAGATTAATAGTATTCAGAATGTTTAGTGAAGGAGAAGATTCAGGCAGTCCATCCATGAGGTTAATGCAACCTTTAATAACCAGTGATGCTAATTTTTGTTTTTTAAAAAAATATTTGCAAAGGCTGTTTTACTGAAATCCCCAATTTGCATATGGCAAATTCCTCCAGGTAGTGAAAAGAAATTGCAGTTAAATCTTTTAAAGGTTGTTTCTAGGCAGAAAATGGCAATGTGCATCATTAGGGTGGACAAATGGGCGGTAACAATGTAAAGCAAAACAAACAGCCAACCAACTTTCAGGAACATGTGCTCTAACTGAAGTTTAACTAAAAAGGAAGATGAAAAAGCTAAATTTTTATCTAGAAGCATTAATTTAATGTTTTGTGCAGTCACTTAAAGTACAATTATTAACAGAAGAATGTCCTGGAAACAAACTGGAAAGTAACTCCATGCCTATCATGGGGAAAAATCACAATTTATCTCCATCTGGAAAATAATATACAGGCTGGGTCACAGCTTCTTACAGAAGACACAGCCAAAATGAATGAGTATGAGTAAGAAATCACAGTCCTTACAGTTATAAAAATTTTATGAAAAGCCCAGACACAGCTGAAGTCTACAAAATCCATGATATTCATGCCAAAGAGGAAAACATTTGTTCACTTAATACCATTAATTATGCTGTTAAATCTAAGAAAAAAGAAGATAGAGGATTACTTTTAAGTGTGGCTACTCCACCTTAACCTTAAGAGGAATCAAGGTTACAGACGTATCTTCACAAAGTTTTCAAAAACTACGGTGACATTAATAAACTAAAATGTTTGGCAGCATATCCCTACCTAACCTGTTGAGCTTGACACCACAGAGGACCAACTAAGCCAGTCCACAACACTTCCCTTGGTGATGTTTTCCTAAAGAGAAAACTAGATGAACCATGGGTCTGACCCAGCATGGCAATTCTTATGTTCTTACTGCTGATGATGACAGATTGCCTGTAGTTCGTGTGTGAACATTATTTCTGAAATAGGTGAAAAAAATGAAAGATGTTACTACAGCTTTTCCCTATAGAGTACCTTGAAAACTGATTATTTCAAGATCTATTCTGATGAACAGTTTTATCTAATTCTACATCATTCTGACTCAACACTACCATGAATAAACAGAAAAAAATTAAATTTAAAATATTAAGATATGTGAAATTTTACTCCAGTCATCATCAGCTTTGACTAATGGGGAATGAGGCACAGGGAACACTGTCCTACAATTTCCAGCAGCAATCACACTCATTTTACTCCCTTTCAGATAATTTTGTTTTGGCTTTGATCCTCCAGAGTAGTGATGAACAGAGACAAGCATAAATGAACATGCCCAAGAAACAGTCCAGCTTCTGGAGTTTAAAAAGCACAATCAAATATATGCGTAAGTACATCCTTCAAAGGGAATAATTAAAAAAAATTTTTTTTTTAATTTAAAATTCTTTACTGGTGCACCTCTGTCACAACTTTGAACTATTTATATTGCATACACATTAGGGAATAATCAGTATAACATGACAGAATTAGTCCTACGTTTGATAGTTCATCAGCATTTTAGTGCAACTTATGTGAAGCAAGTATTCAATATTCAATGTATTTAGGTGCCAGTGGACATCTCTCCTTCCAAAGCTAGACTAAATGAGGTTGAGAATGTGGTGGATGGAAACTTTAAAAAAGACATTATGCATAAGGAATGGATATAATAACAACCCATATTCCTTGTGAAAGTAAGCTAAAGTTACATGACTATTAAATATTATTTTTGCTAGAGAAAGGATGCTCAAGAAATATAAAAGGGGAGTCACTATATACACGTTCTATATACACTATATACACGTTCCTCTATAACAAATTTCTAACAATAATGAAAATGTAATTTGACTTGACTCATTCCTATGTCCCTTAGTCTATATCCAAATCTTTTTTGAATACGGAATCAAAGGTAGACTGGACAAGGAAAAATACTAACTTCCATTCCTCTGTAAAGGTCCTCTACTAGGCACATAGCCCTTTATTTTTTGAACAGATAGTCTCCATAGTGTTTTCAGAGTGTTAATATACACTGAAAAGTTTAAATGCCCTAGGAAGATATGTCAATAGACAAATTTAAATGAATGAAACTCCTATCTGTTAAAAAGGAAAGTTTAAAAAATTATAATTTTCACAAGAAAAACTTAGGAAAGCTTAGCAAAATTATGACTGAAAGAAAAAATGAACTCACGTTACACCAGGATGAAGATTATATTTCTTTTTTCCAAATCGTGTTTGCTGAGCAAAGAAATCATAACGTTCAGATTTTTTCCACATATAATAGAATGCTACACATTCACCAACTGACCTTGTTCGAACCTGTAAAAAAAAGTACTTGTTTTTAAAAATCTTCTTAAAGGAGTTATTGCATTAGAAATATCTTAAGTCTGAAAATAAATTTAACTGATCCTTAACTATATATAGTACTATGTATAAAAACATTGCAGCAGCTTTGTTAAAACTATCATAAACTCCCATTGAGAGAAATATTACACTGACAACAGATTTTCAGACATTTAGCTTTTTAACGGGCTATCATCTTAATTCACGGTAAAACTAATACTCTTCTGTTGCAAATGAAGTGAAATTTAGGTTAAAGTTATGTTATAAACATTTTGTTTATAAAGGTATTCAGAGTGTACCTTTAAATTTAAAATACAGTTATCTCCCTTTAAATTCCTATTTAAAGATTTTCTGGGCCTCTCCGGTGGCGCAGCGGTTGAGTGCTGGGTTGCGAAGCTGCCTGCGGCCTCTGCGGCACCGGTTCGATCCCCGGCTGCTCCCCGGCCACCGGAGGAGGGTCCCACCTGGCGCGCAGACCTCTCCTGCCGCTCACTGCTCCCCTCAGCAGTGTACTTCGGTCCTTCTACCTGCTCTGCTCCCCGCTCTGGCTCTGGTGAATTCTCTCACCCTCCCGCGCTTCTGACTGTACCCAGTGCATGTATTAAAAAAAAAAAAAACCAAGCAAACAAATAAAACATGCCTCTATTAAAAAAAAAAAAAAGTTATTAAAAAAAAAAAAGATTTTCTTACTAGACCTTATAACAATACAGACTCAGTTAATTTACTTTCTAGAAAGTTTGGGACTATACCACAGTGAGTTGAAAGCTACAACAGTGCTAATGTGTTGTTTATTAAGTTACTCCAGTGGCTTACTGTGCTATTCTTATTTGTGCAACAAAACCAATCCCATTAACATGTTTTAACACTTAAAAGGATGCAGAGAAAATTCCTTTAATCTTGTTACACAGTTTGGAGAGCTGGTAGGGCTGATGTATATAAATAAAATACTGGGTGTTTACAAGGAAAAAAGGTATATGCATGAATGTTTGGGATTCAAGATGATACTGCTTCTAATTCATAAACTCCTGATCCTAAATTTTATGGGTCATCTTCTTAAGGGACAGATTGCAACTATGGATCCATTTGATAACATCCTTACTACTCTTCCCAACCTGTTTTTTTTCCCTTCTTCTCTGTCTATATTGGTCTATGTTGCTCTAAGACTGAAAAAAATCACCTTCTCAAGCATTTTTTGTGTCCTCCAGAATCTTATTTCTAGAAAAATAAGTCAACTGTATTTTACTGAAAAGAAAATTGGTTAAGACATTTTGGGACATGCAAAACTAACAATATTATAAAAAATCCTCAGTAAAAAAAATCTGCTTAATAGAACTTATGTTTAAGACCCAAACTTCAATTCCAAGTGTAAAAAAAAAGTCTTAATATTTTTCACTGGATTATTCTTTTCTCCCTTAAAGAATTACTGTCCTCTCTTTGCTCATGACAACAACTAGAATGTGACATCTAAGTCAGTTGGCACTGAAATATCACCCTGTCAAATAAAGAAATCAAGATTTTATTTTCGTGAGACTTTTTGGGCTTGTAGTTTCAAATCACCTAGTAAATTCTTATTCTTTTAAAAGATTTCTAAGGGGTTGCTACATCAGCACATCATCCCAGGGGCCTCCTCCAGAGGTAATTTAGCATGATTTGGTGACCAGTGTCTGAACTCACGGAATGCCAGAAAACTTTTATCCAAAATATTCACCCTTCAACCACAAAACAATGTTTCTTGGTTTGTTTTTACAATCAGAAGCAAACATGACCAATTGTTAACTAAAGTACTTCTTTCATAAAGTGCTCACTATATATTGGAGATTATCAGATGATTTGAACACATCATAAAAGGATGTGTATTCATTTTTGATACCAATGCTAAGACTCAAAGCTTCTTTCTTAATTATTATATCTGCAAACTGCAGCTAGAGAATCTAAAGTAAACTAGTCAATAGACAAAAATACAAACAAACAGCATTTGTAAGCAACTATTTATGGAACATAGTTTTATTTAATAAATAACACTTTTAACAAATCCAGTAGATATCACTGAATCTCGTACAGAGGCATTAAAAAAGGAGAATGTGGTGACATTTTAGAGCCTCATATACAAGCACATAAATTTAAATACTTTAAATCATCATCTAGACAAGACATGAAAAATGCCTTGAAGTTTCAAAATTATTATTTCAAAGAATTTCCTTTAAAGATACTTCACAAATTTGTAGAAAACAACTATAAACAATTACACACTACACACATCCTTCACCAAATGTTGCTAAGCATATTCGTAAATGAGACCAAATCGTAAAGATTTCCAGTAATATGCACTGAAAACAGCCAATAAGAAAATATATGCCAGGAAGTCTACACATGCTTATTTTAATAATTCCTTAAATACCAACTTATTAAAATCTTCATTACAGAGCCTTTAAATTAGAAAGTAATTAAAATCTAAGATGATCTGGTTAAATTTCTTTTTGTGAAAGAGAGAACATAGGTCATTACTTACTTTATTAGCCTGAATCAAATGAAAATCCTTCCCATAGGCCTTTAGTCCTTGCTCAAAATTTCTACACTCTTCCTCTGTCCAAACAGATAATTCCTCTGACAAAATGGGAGGGAAAATTGTTATCCACTACTTGCCCAAGTGACAAAATTGCAAATAAAAATCTAACTTTCTGGTAACAATGATGCATTTTACTCCTGAACTCTTTACTATTGATGACTGCAGATAACCTGACAGAAACAAATGAAATTTTGGATGGTTTTTTTATTCTTTTTTTTTTTTACTTTATTTATACAAGAACCAGGGTACAGGCCAGATGCGCGGGAGGGTGAGAAGATTCACCAGAGACAGAGTAGGGAACAGAACAGGCAGACTGACTGAAATACATTGCTGAGGGGAGCAGTGGGTGAGACAGGAGAGGTCTGCTTGCCATGTGGATTGCTCCGAGGCAGGAGGGGATGGAACAGGCACTGCAGAGGCTGCAGACAGCCTCACAGCGCTGCGCTCAACCGCCTGCACCATCAGGGAAGGCCCTGTTTCCTTATTCTTCAAACTCAAATTGGGCCACTTTCTCCATTATTCCTTATGATTCAACTACATTAGTTACCTTTCCATTCCTTTCACCTTCCAAATTTGCCATGTTCTTTCTCACTACTGACTTTGAATATGCTATTTCCTTTGTCTAAAATTATTTCCCACTCCTGACTTCACAATCCCTTTTAACCTAATTCATTTACATCCCAGCAAAAACATCACTGTTACAGATGCTTTCCCTAACATCCTCACCTCTCCTCCTTTCCCCCAAACTTGGTGAAGTCCCACTGAACTAAGTTTAACTGTACCCATTGATTCTCTTTGTAAGAACTCGTAACTACTTTTCAGATTACCTATCTATGCTGTAAGTACCATGAAGACAGGGACATTGTTTATAGTTATGTCTTAGTAAGCCCTCCATTTTTTATGTGTGAATGAATCTTTCATTTGTTAATGGTATGCAAAACAGTATTCTTAATGAGTTGGGGAGGAGCCAGTTTAAACAAATGAAAATCGGGTTTCCCTGGTGGCACAGGGATTAAAAGTCTCCTGACATTAAACTAACTCACATGGCGTAGCAGACCTTTCCTGTCTCACCCGCTGTTCAATAGATCCACCTGTTGTGCTCCTTATTCTATCGCTGGTAATCCCCCCAACCCCCACCTCTGGCCTACACACCAGTTCTTGTATGCATAAATAAATCTCTTAAAAAATAAAAAATAAACAAAAAACCTGCACTTTAGTTATGGCTTCATTATTTATGAATTGTGTTTTCCTCAGCTGACTTGGTTTTTGTTCAGAGAACTCAACCTCACTGATTTTGAAGTGACGGTAATACATGTCATATTACTTAGCTCATAGGGTTATTACCAAGATCAAATGAGATAATATTTTAAAAAATTGCTTGAAATTCAAATGCATTTTTATTTAAATAGCCTTGTTTTTCCCCATTCTTCACAATGCATCATTTTAATACTTGTGTGATATGAGTTATTCAACATATAGTAACAAGTTACTTGTTATTCAACAAATATTTACTTAATTCAGAAAGACAAGTACTAAGCAAAAGATATAGCTAAAATTAAAGAACTTTAATGTTTTTTATCTTTATATAGTGAATACAAATTTAATATTTATGCTTACCTCTAGCTGCTTTCACATTAAATCTTAATCTTCTCAATGCTTCTTCTGTATCAAAATTGCATTTAACTAATTCATATAGTGCCTAAAAAGAAAAAGGCTTCAATGTGACCCAGATTATGAATAATACATGGCTACAATTTCGTAAAAGAGTAAAAAGCTGTTTCAGAATCCAGTGATTGTTTTCATCTTTTCTGAAGAATAAATAATTCTAGTGACTGCAACACATAGAATAAAGAAAAATCAATTCAGTCCTGATAAATTAACTGCCTCTAAACATGTGGAAAATATAAGCAAGTGCACTAACTTGGTGGCCATAGTATACAGAAATTCAAAAATAAAAAATCATTTTATAAACAAATTCACAAATCCCTTTTTTTGAGGTTCCTTAATTTTAAACTAATCAGAAAAGATAAACATTTATTTAAAAAGGTAGAAGACATAATGCTGTTATTAGGTTTCTGATAAGTACTAGTATACTGTGTGCTTTTAAAAGCATTATCCCAGACATCTATTCTCATCCTGACAACCACAGTCTCAGGGATATCCAGGCAAAATGAAACACAAGGGTTTTGTTTATTTGAACTAAATAAGTGTTCACAACAGTATCTTATATGCTGATTATAATCTTAGATTCCCTGACAATGACATTATAAGAATTTTGGTCGGTAGAACAACAGCAATGGATGTGATAGCATTTACATTTATAAATATATACGATTAACTTATCAGGGAAATTTAAGTTACATTTTTATTCACATACCTGTTCATTGTCTTTTATGTGAGATCCCTCAGGAATTGCTTCTACACCTTTCTCATCACCTGTTCTTCTAGATGCATCCTTAAGAAATATAATCACTTTATCTTCTGGTAAATACTCAGGATCCCACAGGAGTTGATCATCATTCTCATATACTAAATGAGTGAAACATGTCAAAAAAAAAAAAAGGCTAAGAAAAAATAACTCACAGAGTCAAATGTTGGGAACTGAAAGGTAAAATGTGGTCCTATTATTTGACTTCATTCTTGGGTAATCTTAAGTGATTTAAGCAGTCTAAACAGAGATGTTCCACTTTATGCACCTTTAAAGTTCAATCAAAGTTGCGAAGTTCTCCTGGTTTAAATTCTGCCACCACCATTTACTACTTGTATGACCTTGGACAAGTTACTTCCATTCTCTCTACTTCATTTATGATACAGGGATAAAAACCCTATTGCTTAGGACTATAAGGAGTTAACATAGTTTAAAAACAATTCTGGCACATATTAAGATTGACTAAATAGTAGCTATAATTATCATTTTTGAAAAGTGGTATTTAAAAAAAAAGTCCACCAAATGTTAACAGTACTTATTATTTGGTGGTGGAATCTGGTGCAATTTGTTCTTCCTTGTATTTTTCTATGATGCTTCAAAATGTATTACAATGAATATATATAATTTTCATAAAACAAGTCATTATGTTTTTTAAAAAAGTATTTAGGCTTCATCAAGATTTCCATTTAGGGCCTCCCAGTGGCGCAGTGGTTGAGCACTGGGTTGCGAAGCTGCCTGCAGCCTCTGCAGCGCCAGTTCAATCCCCGGCTGCTCCCCGGCCACCGGAGGAGGGTCCCACATGGCACGCAGACCTCTCCTCCGCCCGCTGCTCTCCTCAGCAGTGTACTTCGTCAGTCTGCCTGCTCTGCTCTGCTCTCCGCTCCGCCTCCGGTGAATTCTCACCCTCCCGCGCTTCTAACTGTACCCAGTGCTTGTATGTATAAATAAATAAATCTTTGCAAAAAAAAAGATTTCCATTTATAATAAAAGTCTTAAACTCACTAAAATTTAAAAAGTGAAAGAAAATGGAGGAGAATTTAAGATGAAAGCCTTGTGGAATTATAAATGACAGGAAGATGGAATACTGAGATAAAGACTGGGTAAATGTTATGACCAGGATGAATACTGGAAAAGGTGTGCTGGATTTATGAACAAGGAGAATGTTTCTTTGCATAGGTAGAAGCCGAAGTCATGTTGCAAAGGACTGAAGAATAAATAAAAGGCAAAGAAATGGAGTAGAAAACTTTTAAAAAGTTCACTTGTGAGAGAGAAGATGGGGCAGTAGCCAGAGGAAGCACAGTTGAATAATTTTTTTTTTTTTTGGTTTTTAAAGATAGGAGATATAATCGCTTAAATGGCAATAGGGGGAGCCAACTGGTTAAGACTTTGAATTTAAGAAATAAAGGATAAATGATAGTCCCCAAGTTCCTTATATTATGAAAAAGAAGAGTTAACTGTTTTCATATAAATCACTTTGACCCCTAGCCCCACCAATTAAGACTTTAAAATATTATTCTACTTTTTTGTTTACCAAAATAGCAGTATAGCTCAAAGAATTACTTTTCCTTAATAAACCTCATTTTTTCCCCAGCCTGTTTGCTAAAGGGAGACAACTACAGTTCTTTTATTCCTGGAGTGATGGGTGGGGTAGGTAAAAAGGGCTTTATAAGGAAACCCTGACTCAGAAAGAGGGAGATGGCAGGTGGACTCCTGAGTCCCCAGTGTTGGGAGATACTTTTGGAATGATTCATTAGCCACAGGATACAGAGATGTTTCTGATTACACAAACATCAGCAGATGGCGCTAAATGAATAACTAGAGCCCTAGAATTGTGGCTACATAGTCAAATAGGCTACCCTAAAATTTAACACTTTCTTTTATGCAACTAAATATACCAAAAAAAAAAAAAAAAAAAGGAAAAAAGAAAAGAGCATGTAGTGAGAACAGTTAGTATTGCACAGAGAATAAACCATACTGTCTTTATGGTTCCAGAAACAGACCAAATTATGTTAAGTTCACACTCTAAATAGGACTTTTGATGATCTAAAATAGGCAACAAAGTTGATATTTATTAACTGACTTTGTAGAAAAAAATACAGAGATCAGATATTCAGAAGAACTACACTATTATAACAAAACAGAAGAGAAATAACATTTACAAACAAGCTATGGAACTCTGTAATTACAAGGAAAAAATCACTCTACAGAGGTCTGAACACACTGGGATTTTGAAAGATCACAATCACTAAATAGCATCTTCTCAAACTATTTCATTCTAAATGTATTGCCAAGTCTAAATATTAGAACTTTAAAAAAGCAACTCCCAATACACACACCTTATAGTACTGGAAGATATAATGATGATAAGTCCTCGGGTGCTACATTTCTCGTGAATTTACAGATGAATCTATGGGTCACACGTTGAATAGCAAGGCACTGACACACCTCATTTCAGCTATGTGAAGGTAATTTTATTATCCAGCACACAATTAGAAAAACTATTAGCAATCAAGTTTTTCAGATAAACAAAATGAATTGCCAAAATAACTTAGATGTGTGTTTGGGGCTATGGAGGATTAACCTAGAAAGCTGAGAAAACTACCACCACAAAATCACAGGCCAACTTGTGCAATCTGGGAAATTCATTTCCCATGAATTTGTCAAACCCCAGTTTTAGTAAAAAAAAAAAAAAAAAAAAAAAAAAAAAAAATTATTTTTAATACCAAAGTAAAGTCTATTAATCAACATACTGTGATGACACTGTGATCCATAATGAACGTTATGATGTAATGATGAGGTTTACAAGAGAAATTTCTAGTCTTAAAAGGTCACACTGATTAATGTCATAAATTTAAAGTTGTCTACTTGAGCTTTTCCAATGTCTAGGTTAAATGAACTGCCTATTTCAACAGTATTATTAAATCAACTAAGGGTAATTCACATTTATTTTCAGGAACTAACTTAAGATTCAATAATCTATCAAATGTTCATTAGTACACACACATGTTGATTCCCAACGATATATACCTGAAATTAATGTTATAATTCAATGTTTCTACAATTAAAAGTTAAAAATTTATATGTTCATTGGTTATTCACAGTTTAATTCCTAACCATGAGGTACTTATTCTAAAACTTACATCATACAAGCATGAAAACTTGATTGGGGATATTTTGTTCCTTTCCCTAAGTATACTGATCTAATTCTCAATTGATCTAGTCCAGGTTCTCAACCTTTGTACTACTGAAATTTTTGGCCACATAATTCTTGCTGGTGGCACGGTTTCTTGTAGAATGTCTTATAGAATTGTAGAATATTTACCAGCATTTGAATCAACTAGTCTTAACACAAAGCTATGATGTTTATCCACTTCAGTACATAGGAAAAACAAAATATACACATAATTTTGAAAAGCAAGCTTTCATTTACTCAGCACTTCTTTGGGTATTTGAATCTTCGCATATAGTATAAGTGGGGCTGACACTTCCTAAGGACCCCCAAAAAACAGATAAATGAGCAAGAGTATTCACTCATCTCTCCTGTCACAGTAACTACCTCTGACTGGGTATGACTCAACCTGTCAAAAGTAGCTTTCTCGAGGACTTCTGTGGAAGCAAAGATGGCAAACTTCTCACTTTGATTGATTCTCTAACTATAAAGACAGTATAAAGTGTAAGCTAGGCACTCCCAGCAGCCATCTTAGCTTGTCTGACACTAAAGGAAGAAGAGGAGGGAAGATCACTTGTTATAATTACATGTCCTTGAATACAGTTATATTTGAAGCCAGACCAGCCAGAACTTTCCAGTAATCAGGTAAATTACTTTCTACCTAAGTTAACTGAACTGAGTTTTGTCACTTGCATTAAAGAGCATCAACTGATAGTTTCTGAAGATCTAAACAATAAAATTTAAATTATTAGTCCCAAATGTAAGATTTATCATCTACTGAATATTAATGCCTCTTATTATGTGCCAGACACTATGCTGCTAAGTGCTACACATAAAAATATCATAATAGGCTCTGTAATAAATGCTTTATTATTGCTATTTTATAGATTAAGAGAAAAAGAAGTTAAGTAACACCTACATGGTCAAATGCCTAAATACTAAGTCTGTACTGCTTCTGTTAACATCATTCTGTACCCAACCTAAAACTCATTTACTAAGTGTTCACTAAGTGCCTATGTGACAAGGATCATTCTGGGTATTAAGGATACAAAGTACGTTTAAAAAATGGTTATAATACACTGTGTAGTGCAAATGATAATTACATAAATGTAAGAAAATGTTAATGTGAGATTTTATAATCTAATTAGAAGTTAAAAGGAATATACCTCAAACAGGGCCATAACTAATAAATCTTGTTTATATAATGTTTGAATTAAGAGCATTAATGGATGAGAATATAAAATGAAAAAAAAAATGTATCAAAGTCTCTCCAAAATAGGCAGCAATAGATTTTTACACATCAACAAAAATATTCTAATCCACCTGCCAAATCTTACATTGAAGATAGAAGGATATCTTAATTTTGTGGCACTTTTATTAAAATCACATAAAGCAAATATTCCCCCTTTTAAATGTATGCTCAGCAAACTGATGAAAGTATCGTGCAAAAATAACAAAGAATGTACTATCCCTTTGAGAGTCCTATTTATATAACAATTTATAAGTTTCATTTGTATGCAAGGATTTTACCCTGTGGAGACAAATTCTGGGTATCATGATGGAAGTTTGACTTCCTAGAACCAGCAAACTGAGAAGTCCTTGTATTACAGGGATCCCTCCAGTGATCACTGTTAAATCTGATTCTCTTACAATCCAACAAATCCCCAACAAATTTAAATTGTCAATGTGAGAAAAGTTTCATAAATCACACCTTTTCCTGAAAAAATTATGTGTAATTGCTTTCTAAAATTGTTAAAACTGCAAGCACAAACCAAAACTTAAACATCAAAAATTAAGAGACTGATCATTTATTCACTGTGACATTTGATAGCAATGTATGACAATGAACATGTTAAAGAAAAAAATACTGATAATAAACTACCTTATCTACTATATTAACTTGCTACATATAAAAACAGGTATTTTCCTACCCATCTATGCAGTATAAAATTTTCAAAGACAGATACTACTCTATCTTTCATAGTAAAAATTTGAACATGAAGTAAATTTTGGATGAAATTTTAAAAAGAAAACAAGAACAAAAGATTTCTACAATTCCAAAGAGAAATGAGGAGAAGAAAACTGAAATGAAGAAACATTACTAGCAATGAGTAATGTCACACACACTGCACATGAACTGATTTAAAACACACTCACACACGCATGCACTCACTTTCTGGAACTCAACTCACTTTCTGGAACCCAAAATGAATAATCTGAAACACACTTAAAAACAAAATTTGTTTTTATGCTATTGGAAATTTAAGTATTTATGGCTAGCCTAAAGACTTTTTGATAGAATTATGAAAAAAGTCATGTAAAATTTAAGTAAACAAACTGTTCCCCCCAATACAAATACCAAAATAGTCAATTTTTAGTAAATAACACCAAAAGTTGAGAAGCAATTAAGTTTTTTATCAGTTGGTACTCAAGCTTTTTTGAAAAAACTGTCCTATAGCTTCCACTGACATAAAGTAACCTTTTAAAATTTAACTATAATAGCTCATATAAATAAATACTTCAAATGCATGAATTTAGCTATGTAACTTTACTAAAAACCCACCTTTTTCATTTTCTTTGTATCTACAAATGCCAACTGGAATTTCTGCTTGAAACATGGAACCCACCATTATCTCCTGTTTTAAAAATAATATAAAACATTAGTAAGATCTAATAACACAGATTTTATATCCATTTTTTTACCGTTACCATCTTCTTGGGTAAACTATTGCTGGTTTCTGTCATAAAATACAGACACAAACAATTAACTACCTCAAAGGAGTATTGTGAGGATGAATGAGTTAATAATAGAGCTTGGATATGATTGGATGAAATATTAGTAATAACAATGGGATAAATGTGATGCAAACAATTTTTTTAAAAATATGGAGAAAAGAAAATCCTTAGAATTCAGTTAATAAAGATTAAATAGGAACACTGAAAAAATATGTCAAATACAGATATTGTCTGAGTATCCACATTCTGAGGCAGTGGTCTTAAAATATGAAGCCTGGATCAGCAAGCAGCCTCAGTATCCCCTCAGAAGTTGTTTGAAATGCAGATGGCTCAAGTCCCACCCCAGACCTACTAAGCCAGAAACTCTAAGGATGGGATTCAGCAGTGTTGCAACAAACTGTTCAGATGATTCTGACACACATTTAAGTATGAGACCAGGGCTTTAAGGTAAAGGAAAAAAACAAAAAGAGTTTGTATAAAGCTCAGTAGAAGTAAAATGGCTAAATCTCTAAGCAAGTTAGTGCCCATCTGTCATTTAAAAAAAAAAAAAAAAAAGCCTCCCCAAACATAATTAAATCTTATTTTGGTAAATACGGTAATTAAATCTTTATGTCAAAAAAAACAGGTTAAGGGAAAAGCGGTTGTTCAGAAACACAGTTGGTGATGACTACTAAAGAGCTTTTATAACACACAGGAACCAAGACTACATGGAATCTTCTTTTATCTGGTGGTTAAATGATTAAGAGTAAATTTACTGCATTTTCAAAATGAAAACTTAGGAAAGGTAAAAATCACGGTCTAGGAAGCTTAACAGCTCTTTAGATCCAAAATGTTCCATTCTCCTATAACTATTACCCCAAAGATCTTAGCCTCTCCTTTTGTCTAGTATTATGTCAAAAACATGCTATATATAATAAAGTTATTGCTGTACTTGTATAGGAAAACCAGTCAATTTTCTAAAAAAAAATACTACATACAAATTTTCTCTGCTCTTACACAGGAAATTTTTAAGTATCTTTCACCATAAAAAGGAGTACTCATTGTCACTTATTGTGCCTCTTTTAACATTACCCACCTGTGCCTATCATGGAATAATCAAGTTATCAAAATACCCTACCCAAGTTTTCATAAAAACTCAATTTTATCTTACAAAATTTTAGAACATCAATCTCTGAATTTTCACATTTACCACAACAAAATCATACTAAATAAAACAATCTGGATTTACAGTGGCCTGCAATATCATGTAACTTTCTTGAGGAAGCAACTAACCTAGCAATGAAGGACGCCCTATGTCCTCCCTCCTCTGAGCTTTCTTTGTTCCTTCTTTAAAACCACATTATCAAAACAAAAAACTCAACACAATCAAAATTCCTATTGGTATGAGTTGGTAGGCTATTGTTTGTGTGGGAATGCTATTATCATTAATTTATATGGAAAATATTTGGAGCATTCCCAGACCCAAAATCTAACTGATCATATAGGAATGGTCTACTTTTGAATAACGGGAAAACCAGTATATAAACCTGAATGTGTGGTAGAAAATAATATAGTGGACTTCCACGGTTTCTAGGTTTTTTCTTCTTAATTCCTGCCTAGTATAGGTATAAAACAAAAAAGACTGAAGAACACTCATCTATATAGGTCACACAAATAAGAAGCAACTTTTGTAAGTTTTCTATTTTCAGTCCCATTGTTTACTTATCACACACTGAAATTAATTAACCCATACTACACTGAGCTAAATTTCCCTTACCATTCCAACTCAAATATATCTATATATCTCTTTGGAAATCCATAAACAGATAAATTCCGGCTAAAGCTCAGAATCCCGTAAGGTAACCCAATCTGAACCTATTAAATATTTCATTCATCTTAGTAGAAACTATGAGATCTTCCTTTATTTTTAACCTGCCAAGGGGAGTCAGCTCTTTCTTTATGCCCTAGGCATCCCAAACCAGGTATCAACTAAAGACCAAAATATCATAAATAAGGTTAAAAAATATTTGCCAATTAAATAATTACTAGCCCAATCAATTTGATGTCTTGAGCTATTCTGCTTCCAAAGAAATAATAATTTATACACTAGATTTAATATCAGATGTAAGAAAATGACTCAAGGAAATTTTTAAGGAGGAGAATTAGGTCCACCTATCTCAAGGATATTTCTCCAGAAATGATTTGCTTTTAACAATTCTAAAATATAGTTTGATAATATTCCTAAGTCAACTGCTTTGCAACAGCATAATGCTGTATAACCTTATAATGAAAAACTAATGTTAATATATTATCTTTTGAGACATTTTAGAAATTAACACTTATTATGGATAGTTATAGAAAAGCCCAAATATGTCTCTTCACCCAATATATTTAAAATACCCACATTAATGAGATGGAAGAACCTGTAAACTAAGTTAAACGAGAGCCTGGAATATTTTTCTTACCTGGATGTATTAAAGAAAATCTAAACATCTACCAAATATTTAAAATCACAAAAGGGCTTACCTCAACTTTATTAACATATATTTAGTTATAGCAGAATAATTACACTTAGGCTTTCAAATATTAATTTGCTTAAGTTTTTTTAAAATATTGTTCTAAATACCTTTTTCCAGTCTTCTGATGGAATATAATCTTCATCCTCTTCAGACTCTTCTTCTATTTCACTATCTAGAATAAATAAAACAATACTATAAAATGATTGCTTGTCCTGTCCTGTATCTTTATTATTGTATCTAACACCAAATACTTAAACATGCCCAAAGGTATTTGCGGAGTTAGACCAAAATGTTTCTATTCAAATAATCAATACCCTATCAGCTAAAATCAAAACAAAACAATACTTCATAACTTTCTGGAACCATCCTAATCTTAGGTAACTGTATTCTCATAAACAAAAACTGTAGGAGAAAAAATTCAGAGTCAAAACAGTCCATCTCTAAACCTAATTCTGAAGTTTGGAACTGGATGAAGTTATATGATGATTTTCTTCCCTTATGAAGTTAGATTTTGGTTAAAACAGTGGCTTTTAAAAAGCGCTTCTTAAAATATAAAACACTCAGAATTTTGTAGCCCTACTTTGGGGGGTAAATCATTTGAAGGGAGGAGCTATAGATCTATAAACCTTCATTCTTCCCAAACTCTTTTATTCAGCATAGGCAAGTTGCTGTTTGTTTACATTTTGGAGTAAAAATGTAATTTTCACAAAGGGGTAGGAAATCTTCTGAAAACTGATTGTCAGCATCTTCTCAACTCTAAACCTGCACACAAAGTTAAAAAGCACATTAAATGAAGAACTTAATTCGCCCTATGGAGAAACTAAGATAAGCAACATATATACAGCTCCCATGTACACATCACAAATACAATGCCAGATGTATGAAATAAATATTCTTTCAAAAAGCAATTACTGGACCTCCCTGGTGGCAAAGGGGTTAAAGTCTCAGTGCTATCAAGCTATCACTAGCCACTGCAGTATGAGTTCAATCCTCTACCACGGAGCTAACCCACATGGTGCAGCAGACCTCCCCTGTCTTGACCACTGCTCCTCTCAGCAGTGTATTTCAGTAGATCCACCTATTCTGCTCCCCACTCTGTCTCTGGTGAATCTTCTTACCCCCCTGCACCTCTGGCCTACATTCGTTCTTGAACGCATAAATGAAAACAAATCTTGAAAGAAAAAAAAAAAGAAGCATTACTTAGCATCCTAGTATTAAGCAAATTTTGGCAATGGATGTATTCTCTGTTAAATACCACATTTTCCCCAGACAAAATTAACACCATTTTTTTTAGTAACTAACTTCTCCTTGCATTAATACTTTCCAATTTGACCATATTTTTGAACAAAGCTCACAAAAAAATTACGATTAGCAGCACTACATTCATTTCTAAACTAAATGTATAACAAGTCATATATACAAAGCAGTTGCTACACTTAATCAGTTATTCCATTACTATAATTCATGAGATTGTTTCAAGTGTTTTTCTTCCCTTTTAGAGTATATAAATTTAGATCCCAAAGTAAAACTACTAATGGCTGACTTGTTCTTATTGAAGATTGTCTTGTAACTTAAAGAAATGGAAAGATTATTCTTTGATCATGGACAGAAAGAATTAACATTGTTAAATAGGCCATCTGACCCAAAGTAACATATATTCAGTGTGATCCCTATCAAAATTTCAATGGTATTCTTCAAGGGACTAGAGCAAAAAATGAAATGTAGATGGAAATACAAAAGACTGTCAAATAGTCAAAGCAAGTCTGACAACGTAAGAGCAGAGGTATCTTACTCCTAGATTTCAACCTATATACTACAAAGCCATAGTAATCAAGAATATGGTACTGGAATAAAAACAAAACACACAGATCAATGCAATGGAATTGAGAGCCCTGGAAGACCACTCTTCGTTGGTTAACAATGCTGTGTGCAACTTATGGATGGAGTTTCACATCTCTTCAGATGTATGTTACTACATGCATTGATCACCCAAAACTCACATGGTCCCAGGGGAAAAAAAAAACCACACTTATAAGAATAGTTAGCTTAGAATAGTGAAGCCAATAATATACAATGAAGAAAGAAAAATCTTTCAACAAACGTTGTCAGGAAACTGGATAGCCACAAGTAAGACAATGAAACTAAAGCTTTATCTCACACTATCCAAAATTAGCATGAGGCAAAATGTATTAAAGCCTTGGACCGAAACCATAAAATATATCCGAAAAGAAGAAGAAAACTCCATGACATTGGTTTCAGGGCTATCTTTGGGGACTTGACTCCAAAAGCAAGGGAGAAAAAAAGCAAAGATAAATAGGACTACATAAAGCCAAAAAGCTTCTGCATAGCAAAGGAAAGTATCATTAAAATGAGAACACACACTAACAGGAGAAAATATTTCTTATCACATATAAAAATCTCACATAACGAAAACAACGAAACAAAGAATCCAATCAAAAAATGGGCCAAAGACCTAAACAGACATTTCTCCAAAGAGGAGATACAGATGCCAAAAGGCACATGAGAAACTCCTCACCATCACCTATCAGGGAAATGAAAATCAAAACCACAGTGAGATACCACCTCATGTCTTTAAGAATGGCCTATATCAAAAAGACCAAAAACAAGTGATGGTGAGGATATGGTGGAAAAAGGAACCCTACTACACTGCTGGTATAAATACAGACTGGTGCAGCCCTATGGAAAATAGTATGGAGGTTTCTCAATGCATAATCCAGCAATTCTACCCCTTGGTATCGATTCAAAGAATAAGAAAACACTAATTTTAAGGGATATAACCACTCCTATGTTCACTGTTGCTATGCAAATAACCAAAATGTCCCAAGACAGGTGAATGGAAAAAGAAAACATGATATATATATATATATATACACAGTGGAATACCAATCAGACTTAAAAAATAAAAGAAAGAAATCTTGTCATTTGCACCAATATGAATGGAACTGAAGGGGATAACGCTAAGCAAAACAAATCAGTAGGAAAAAGAAAAATACTTAATTATTTCATTCGTACTATAAAGAATGAAAGCAAAGGAGCAGACAAAACAAACTGTATAAAACACACACTTGAGATTGACAGCAGAACTGAGGCCACTAAATGAGGTGAAAGCAAAGCAGGGAGAGGACCCAATAGACTATGGTAGAAGACCATGGGAGTTTTGGGTGATCAATGCATGTAGCAACATGCATCTGAAGAGATGTGAAAATCCATCCATAAGTCATGCACAGCATTGTTAACCAATGAAGAGTGGTCTTCCAGAGCAAGGGCTTTTGTTTAGAATGAAACCTGGTAGCTCATGTATTACTTAAGATCCATACATTAAATGCTACCTCTACTGCTGATCACCTTTGACTAGATGATATCTGTAGAAAAACTGGGTTTTTTTTTTTTCTTTTCATATAATGTATTTCCACCATAACAGTCAACCACTTCTTTAGATATCTGGGAGTCAGTGACTAGAGAAATAATTTTATAACTATATCTAAAAGGGGTAAGTGGCAAAGCACGTACAAAATAAAAACTTAACAGTTGGAGAAATATGAAAAGACAGCCATAAAATTAAAAGAAGGGCCTGGGATGGGGAACAATTTAAACAAGGGAGAGGGAGGAAAATCAAGTTAACAAACACAACATTTTCTGTAATATAATTCGCAAACCACAGGGCCCCAGCAATGCTGAAGTAGTTAACACAGAACAAAATCCCCTGCCTATCAAGTGGGATTTCAAAATAAATGAATTCAAACAGAGTGCTGAAAAAAAAAGGCCCACTAAAGTTTAAGGTCATGTCTTAAATAGCAAAAATTATATCCAAACTAGATCAACTAATAATACTTACTTGTATCGAAATATTTACATCGACGTGGGCGGATTATCTCCTGAGCATCTTGAGAAGCAACAGATTGTGATGGATCATCATTGGAAGACTGAGTTTCATCCTCTTGACCTGATGAATCTTTTATATTCTCTTCCTGTGGATTAATAAATTAAATTTCTTTAATGTAAAGAAAACTGTTAAAGGTGAAAAGGTCACAGTGTGCCAAATACAATTAGAAAGCTAAAATGAATACACTAAATGCAGTATGGTGGCCTGGTTTGGATCCTGGAACAGGAAAAAAGAACATCAAAAACATCAAAAAACTGGTGAAATCTAAACTGTCAGTAGTAATTAATAGTATGGTACTAATGTTGATTTTTCTGATTTGATAAATATACCATGGTTACATGAACTGTTAACACTGGAGATGCTGGGTGAGCAGTATACAAGAACTCTGCATTACCTTGGAACCTCTCATGTAAATCTAAATTGTTTTGGAATAAAATAAGAAAAATGAATACAGAACTGCCAATTTGTCTTTCCTACTTAAAAACAGTGGCATTTTTTAAAGGCCGGTACAATTTATTGATAGAATAGGCAGTGAAAAGAAATCTGCAATAACAGAGACTGTTACTTCTCAGGAATGGATTATAGGGAACATCTAATTTTTACTACATATTTCAACAAAATCTGAATTTTTAACATTTGAATGCATTAGTTTTAAAGATAAAAGTAAGTATAGTAAGTATAAAAGCAAGCAGTTAAAATAAGTATTAATAAGTTACACCTTCAAGAAGATGACTACAATCTTAAAAATATATGTGTATAACCTTACTTTATTTTCCCCACTACAACCACTGTTATCATCATTATCAGCATCTTCATCATCTTCACCTTCTTCTTCTTCTTCCTCTTCCTCCTCATCTTCTTCAGGTAGTGGAATAGAACTATCATAACCATAAAGACTGAGAAGTTCATGAATTGGCATGTCTCCTTCCTAAACAGACCAAAATAAAAAGCTAATTTCTTAACAAGTCATATTTCAAAATTTCTATAATTCACAAATCTAGAGTATCCATTCCTTAAAGAATACTCTTAGAATTTTATCAAGAATTCTCAAATCCTAAAAATTAAAACCAAAAATAATTCTGAATCCAAGGAAAATCTCCACCTATAAGAAACAAACCAATTCTAATTGCTAACAACCAATTAAGCATAATAGTAAGTGATGCTGGTTTAGAACTTATGCTTTCGTGCAATCAACTCAGTAAATATACAGAGAAGTCAATTAACACTATGTATGGATGCTCACACTTAAGAGTATACCATACATAATTTGGCAGTGGGAAAATAGAATAGTTAGAAAATAGACTGTAAACCAAGTAAACAAACCCAGGAAGAAATATAAAATTTATAACCCAGTCCAAACATATAAAAAAATTGTTCTATTATTTCCTTTTTATAGATGAGGAAACTGAGATTGACAGGTTAAGCAATTTCTCCAACAGTAACACGTTTTAAAGTAGTGGAACCAGATTTAATTCCGAAAGCTATGTCGTTCATCAACATATCACGCAGTCTCAGGCAGTGACATCTCCCAACACACAAAAAATACATACTCTATGAAATGAAGAACTATCCATATATAGTGAAATGAAATCAGGTTTCGACAATGGTGCTCACTTTAATCACTAGAGTATCAGGGGAGCACGTGACAGAATTCTGATTATAAAAAGAACATTTAAGCCAAATCACCTAAGCCCCTTCCCACCCAACACATGGTGGGGAGAGGGGCAGAGAGAAAAATCTGAAGAAAAACCTAACAAAAAGAGGGCAACAATTAGTCACTTTAAAATCTAGAAGTATATTATTCAAGAAACAAGATAGGTTTGGTATTTCTCCAGCTGTCCTGTAAATCTAAATACACTTTTTCAGAGGAGATAGGTACTTCAGACTGGATATTACCTGCTGACACTAACCACTTAAATCATACAATTAGCTCCCTTCACTTAATCTGTGTGCAAGAAACCACTAATGATAGTAATTTGAAAACATTTCCTTACAGAAAGAAAGAAAAGGCTGCGTAACACTCTTTCACTTTGTAAATGGCTATTTCAGTTATAAATCTGTTTCTGAAAGAAAAATAAGTTCTTGTGTCCTGCCTTAATATCTTGTATCAGTTATAATCTGAAAAGTGGTAGGTGTATCATGCAAGGTACAACCATTCCAGCTGAGTGACAGCTGGGCATATATAATTGATCTTTCATACTGTGGTTCTCCCAGTACAATACAAACAGTGCTTCAAGTATTAAAAGACATAGACCATGGAGATGTCTGCTCTATGCAGCAAGGATCTTTACAAGAGGCAGGAATTTGGAAATTATAAGTAAAGTAAGCATTTGAAAAACAAATTTCAAAATCAAGAAAGAACAAGATAGAAAAAGTTGGTTGTATACACAATAACAGTTGACTACCAAACCGTGTCTCCCATGTTTGTGATAAATGCCTTCTTTCCACTCTTATTTTCTAACTAACACAGAATGAAAATATGATATAATCTCATTAGGTTTTTAAAAGTACCAGTGTTTGCCATTTTTATTTACAACTAAGAAAACCAAGTAGAGAGAATTATCATGCACACATCCTGTACCACAAATGAGAAGTAGTAGATTTAGCAACTGAAGTTGCTACTATGAACAGGAGCCACTTTAGGTCAATAGTGTGAAGGGCTAACCCAGGAGAAACATTGTAGCATTAAGTGTGCAACTACTATTTACATGGACCTTAAGAATGCAAGATGAGCTTATTTCACATTTATTTCATGTTATTAACATGTTCCTACTACCACTAATTTTTACTGATACTTTGTGAGATTACACAAAAGAGGTAGATTATCTATCAAATAAATGTCCTCAGACTCCCTACATTTGGTCCTTTTCACTCAAAGGCTTATTGTAACAGACTCCTATACCCCACCCCAAAGTTTCTGATCTAGTAGGGCCAGGGGAGGTCTGAATATCTGTGTATTTTATAAGTGCCCGATGATACTGATATTGCTGATATGAGACCACCTTGTAAATCACTTATCGCAAAGGTCTATAGTAAGATACCTGCAAATCAGACTTTTCAACGGGAAACAATAAATTTGATCATTATCTTAATACAGCTTATTATTAACATCTGACATCTAGCTTAGTTATATGTCAAAGGATAGGTGACACACTAACTGCATGGAAAGGAATATTCTTTTTAACTACTACCAACAATATGAAATGCATGACATCCATGGTTAGATCAAAATTTTTTCCTTTTTGATATATAGTCAATTAATGATTCACTTTACAAAAATTCACTTCTCAAAGAAAAATGTAGCAATGCCTTCAATATTCACTAAGCAGACAAGAAGGATCAAAGTGACTTGTAATAGTGCATATAAAAGAGAATTGCTTGAATCTGAAGAACCTGTAATAGATTTGGCACAGGAAGAAAAGTAATTCAAGTCAGAGGAAATGACAATTGTACAAGTACAGATACAGAACCAAAAATGAATAAGCAGGTTACTCTGATTAGAGAGTATTCTTATTAACTAAAAATAAAGCAATTTAGGACTGGTAGTTTAACTTGCTTTCTCTAGTTTATATTTAGTTTCTAAAAGGATCTGTTATACTCAACTTTGACTCAATCTGAGAGCAGCTGGTGGATAGCGACTGAACTCTGGAGGGACTTTGGGAAATACACACACAGCAAAATGTTCAGGATGGATTAAGACAGGGAGAGATTTAGTATGCCAGAAACACTGAGTTCAGTTGGAATCCACAGCTATCATTCACATGTAGTATAATCAGAACCTAAACTAAATTTAAAGCAGTAGTAGACAAAAACCCCCAAAGCCTTGCAGAAGTAATCAATAGGATTTCATCATGAGTTAAGAGTGATCAAGAGGTCCTGGTAACATCAAATCTCTGGTTTTAGACATTCCTTGGATCCAGACACATATTCACATAACTTTTTAAAAAGTTCTAAAAAAAAATAAAACAATAAAGCTGTAAAAAAAAGAAATACAAAAAATTTTCCTTCCAGACAAACTGTAGGTGGAATCTATCAGGTGTAAATACTCTTATTGATTATTCCACCAGGAAAAGACTTCCTTAATACTAAAAACAGAGTATAGTGTACCATGCTTTTGCTTAGGCATTAACTTTCAACTTTCCTTCTGTCCTGCAATATGAAGTTAGCAAATAAGTTGGAAGCAAGTTAGTAAACAACAGTCACAGACCACTTAGGAATACAACAGAGCTTAACAATACTATGAAAGTATCTTACTTGATTTAAGGTATAAAGTTAGGGTCGCCCTGCAGCAAACATTGGGCTACAACTACTAAAACCAAAATCAATTTTGCTGAGGAATCCTCAGTTTCAAACTTAAGTAGCATTTATGATGTTCCGACTATGGGCTAACTAAAGTATTTAAAGATTTGGCAAGTAACATATAAGGATCATTCACTGCTATCTGTACCCCAATCATTTCCGTTGTCTAACACTGTCTTAGAAGACTTTTATCTTCTAATACTCACCTTCCAGGAAATAGTCTTTTCTACATTCTAATCAAGTATTGTGATTTGTAAACTCGCCCCCTGGACATCTGACCCAATTAAAATCACAGCATTCCCTGGCTATATGTTTGGAATGGGCACATGATCAAGCTTGACTACAGTTTGTTTCCAGATTTTTATCAACGACAGTTCAAGAAACAGACTATCTCAACCAGCCTATCAGGGAGACATGGGAATGGACAGTATCATAAGAAGAAAGCTGATTTGAAAAAAGGAAGCCACCATGTAGAAAAGCATAAACAGAAGCTATGTACTGGTGACACTAGGTGTGTGAGGGCTAGATATATCCCTGCCCTAATTGAAATTACATAAGCCTTACACTAAGTTTTTCATTTTGCCTAAGCTAGTTCAAGATGCACTTGTTATTTATCCCCAAATATAAACAGTAATGACATCCTGTAAAGCAAATGTTATTTCCTTCAAAAAGAAAAAAAAAAAAAAAAAAGATGTTGAATAAAACCTGGCAGATGAAACACTATTGCAATAGGGTCTGTCAGTCACCTGTTCCATGTATCTCTTTAGTTTGTATTTTCAAAGTCTGTACTCTATCAGGTAATACAGGGCTTCCATCAACTTAAATTGAAGCATCACAATAAAGTGCCATAGTGTTTTATTCCCAGTTACATAACTGTTAAGGTAGAGTAAAAAGAAAAAATTATGGCTCAAGTACAGCGGATCTTCAATTCTGGGCTTATATATTTGTTTTGAGAATTTTATGAATGATATTACTACTAAGATTTATTAAGTGATAATCAAATGCCAGACAATGTACTTAATATTTTTCATATATTACCCTAGTAATAACACTAAAGTTTAATGATATTAAGTAAATTGTCTAAAGTCACACTCCCAATAAGTAGTGTAGCTACTTTGAAGAACTTGAAACTATGACTCACTGTTTACCCTTACACACATATGCATGCACATTGCTTCCTCAAAACCTCAAACTAGGTTAAGTGTACATCACCCTGATGGAGTGTGAAATAAGATGTCTTGGGTTTATAGACAATCACAAATAGGGAAAATGGATACAACAGAAAATGAGTAAAAGAGGGATGTGGATAATACTCCCATAATAAACTTTAAAAAATAAGCTAAACACTGTAACATGGGACATGTCTGCATAAGCTAAAGGGATACGCTAGACAGAGGTGTAAACAACAAACTTACAGAAGACAAAGCAAATTATCTGAAATTAAAACTGTTAACTTTAAAAGAGGGCACAGTTACCAAATACCAATGGCAATATAAGACTGGAATTTATTATATCTCCTGGCCACGGAGAACATGGTTTCCTCTCACATCAAGGGAATGTCATTTAGATTATTTAGAAATGACCCTGAGTCACAGCAAATGTTGGTTGTTCAAGGGTTATTTAGTACATGAACACAGCATTCTTTTTCTTTTTAAAAAGATTTATTTTTTATTTATTTATACAAGCACTGGGTACAGTCAGAAGCACAGGAGGGTGAGAGAATTCACCAGAGCCAGAGCGGGGAGCAGAACAGGCAAACTAACGAAGTACGCTGCTAAGGGGAGCAGCGGGCGCAGCAGGAGAGGTCTGCGTGCCATGTGGGACCCTCTCTGGCGGCCGGAGATTGAACTGGCTCTGCAGAGGCTGTGGGCAGCTTCGCAGCCCAGCACTCAACTGCTGCGCCACCAGGGAAGCCAGAACACAGTATTCTTATAACATCTGTTTGAACCAAATATGACTTACCAGTAAATGCTTATGAAAGGGAGAGGAAGAGGCTGATTTCCACTCAAGAAGGCCTAAGGGACCACACCCAGATTGAACTAGAGAGACAGTTCATAAGGTAACCAACCTTAGGAACTGGGTTTTAACTATAAGATAAATTATGAAGGGATGGAGGTATTGAATTTGTCATAATCCCCGTGCTGGGGTTTCATTTTTAAAATTTATATAATTCATGCTGTGTATTCAGGAAAAAATTCAATCTTCACATTTTAATCTTTACGCTCTAGCTCTGGAAAGTGACTGACTGGTACATGCCTTGCATTCTTGCATTTAAAAGGACTGATACTGTTATAATAGGATTTTGCAAAAATACAGATAAACACATAAAGATTCAGTTGACCTAGATCCCTCTTCTCCTAAATGGACTGCAATTTGAGACTCTTGAGTTTTAAGAGTATATTTGAGAAAGTCAAGTCTGCAAATAAATTCTAACTTGTATATCTAATTCTACTAAAACTTTTAAATGTCAAACTTATAACACAATGCCTATATTGAAAATTCATATATGTAAATGTAACAATATATATTAATGCTTTTTTTTTTAATGAAAAGCCAATTGTCACTTAAATTTTTGAAATTCAAAGTTAGTGAACTAAAACTGCAGGCTATGCAGTTATTGGTAACTCCTGAATGAATCAACTACCAAAATTCTACAATTACATCAAAAATTTATTTCAGGCCACCAAAGTGCCAGGTGAAAAACACCTTATCTAGTCCTGAACTGTTTAATTTCTATAAAAGCAAATCAATAATCAACATAAAATTTGTTCACTCTTTTAAGAAAAGTAAAAATCCAGTTTGCTTCAATTCATATATGAGGAGTTTATAACTACAGGAAATCTAATATACTGGCCCTGAACTAGCTCAGTTGTAGGTCACAGATGAAAGCAATAGTGTTCATGTGCTATTTAAACTTAAGTCTTGTTAGGGATCAGCCTTAACAGCACAAGTTAGAAACATCTGCTTGTCTGGTTGAAAAAATTGATAAATGACTGGCTCCCTTGTCTTTTCTTCCTCTATATATCCTCTGCAAATAATCCTGTTTTTATTTTACCTAAGGCATAGTCATTTGAAAGCAAATTTTTGGAATGCTGTAAGAAGGTAGAAGAGAGAAATCAGAAAAGACACTGATATGCTCTAAGCACATTAGCTAAACACATCACAAATTTTGGACTAATTAAATGTATAGCTCATTTTCTATTGAGAAACATTTCATCTCAAAACTTACTGTAACCTGTATTTGATTTCTCTATTCTTATAATTAGTACCTGAGTAATGCAGAATGTGGTAAGATGGAAAAATATAAGAGTTTTTTTCTTTAACTTTCATCCCATGGATAGGATATTCAGAAGCAGGTATATATATCTAAAAGCACAGAAATGTCTATGAATAATTGAAAATTGCATTTCTATTTCACAAATACATGAAGTGACTGATCAACTATGATGTTCACCTACATTCTGAATCAACCAAGCAAATCATTCCTGTCTTTCCAGCTTTTTCTAAAGAACAGTTTTAACTCCAAGTTCTTCATTTGCTTTTAACGCATTCTTTAAATGCTCTAATAACTATACATTACTGCCACTAAGACCGAATCTGTTCTCTGGCTTAGAATAATACAATGTGGAATTGCTTAGGCATCATGGATTAATCCAGTTTTAATCATTAAATGATCCAAAGTGGGATGATCTGACAAGATCGGACTAAATATTAATATGACTTCTTTTCAGTTCTCTCACTTTATACTTAAAAACTAAATTCAAAACATGGATTAGTCTTTATTACTATAGAAGTACAAGAATTTATTTTTCCTTGACTTTATGTTCTCCAGATATGTCAGGCTAGTACTGTTGTTCTTTTTATTATGGAGTACAACAGAGCATATACATAATGCATTTTAATTAGAGCATACCAGATTTATAACTTATCTATCCATTCAAAACTTCTGAGTAACCACTCTTGCTAGGTACCATGAAATACACTGGTGAATAAAATAAGATATGGTCCCTCCTTTCAAGGAATTAAAGGAGAATGAAGACAATAAATAAATATCTAAGTACAAACTGTTAAGTTATAAAGAAAGCAATGAAAGGGGTAAAATCATTAAAAAGGCTAATTAGGGGACAGAACAGATTCTTCTGAGGAATTAACAGTCAGCCTAGACTTGAGGATATACTTAGCTTCAGAAACCACACACTAGAGAGTAGGAATGAGCCATAAAATGGAAGCAGAAACTAGTGTATCTGAGAACAAAAGGTAACTGGTGTAGTCAACAAATAACATGACAGGAACAGTCTAATGCATGGCTGAAGAACTGTATCATGCAACTGGCTTTGCTGGCAAGATCAAAGAGACTGAATTTTCATATGGTTTAATAGAAAGTCACTATAAATTTTGATTAACAGGTTAACATAAACTACTTTAAGTAATCATGACTGTTATGGAAATTTAGAGATGCCTACTGAAATATCCAAGCAGAAATGTCAAGCAGGTAGTTAAAACTGGATATAGAAAACAAGACAATATTAGAAAAATAAGGAATACTGGGCATACAGGCATCAAGGGAATAATTAGATTAGATCATCTAGTTTAGTAATTTTCAAATGAAGTACATTTGAGCCCCACATCTAGAGAGATTCTGATTCAGTATGCCTAGGATAAAGACATAGGAATCCACATATTTACGTCAGTCTGAGTGTTTGTGAAGCAGTTGATGCTGAGTACTGATCTAGAGACAGAAGAAAACAAAGTCCAGAGCTGAAAATTGTGAAATTAATTTAAATCATGGGTAAAAGATGACATGTCCGCTAATGACAAAAAATAGGAAGAAGGGCCTCCCTGGTGGCACAGGCTGTAGAGCTCAGCGCTGTGAAGCTGTCCGCAGCCTCTGCAGTGCCGGGTTCCATCCCTGCCGACCTCAAAGCAACCCACATGGCAAGCAGACCTCTCCTGTCTCGCCCGCTGCTCCCCTCAGCAGTGTATTTCGTCAGTCTGACTGCTCTGTTCCCTACTCTGTTTCTGGTGAATCCTCTTAACCCCCGTGCATCCCGTACCCCAGTTCTTGTATAAATAAATCTTAAAAAAAAAAAAAGGGAAGAAATAGGGAAAACTGGACAGCGGTGTATACTCCTGAATTTAAGTAAAACAAAGGAAGTGGTAAGTTCTGTTGAATACTGTTGAGAGTAAAGTAGAGAGAGAAAAGTGGACCAAGGGACAGAAAAAAGGACATCACTGGTTATCTTGACAATATGAAGTAAATGTGAAATGAGGAACATGATGACAATTCTTAATAAATTTTGGTTTTGAAGGGGAGTAAATAAGAAGTGTAATAACTAGGAGGGTGGGAGGGAAAAGGAAGGTATGTAAAAGGAAATTCAGGATCTTTTTATAGCCCGTTTTTGACCAGATATTGGTGACTATTTGAACAGTTAATTATTTGAATTCTATTTCACATAATAGGTATTTTTTTTAAAACACGTCTTTCATTTCAAACTTTAAATATCCCACGTATAATCATATGGACATTTTCAGTATGGATTGTAACACCCATTTCCTCAAAAAACATAGGTAGAGAATCAAAACATCAAGTGTTTCCTCTCTCCACAAAAATGTTATAACTGCTTCAATCTCTAGCTCTTATTCTTATTTACCCTTGCAAGATCCTCTATTTCAGAACTGAAGTTTGTTTCTCCTTCCATCATTTCTTCTTCTTCTAATGTTCGTTCATCATCAAAATCATGAACCAGCATGTCAGCTGATGGATCAAATTCATGGTCATCTGATGTCGCTGAACCTCCTGGCAAAGAATATTTAAAAAAAAAGTTTGGTTAACCAAATTAAGTATATCTTATTAATATTAATATGTTATTTGAAGAATTATGTAAGCCAAATAAAATTACCAGGGAAGAACTATGCACAGCAAATACTATTTATTATTTTCTAAAATGCTTGCCCTTGGAGGCCTCCCTGGTGGCGCAAGGAGTTAAGCACCACACTATGAAGCAATTCGCAGCCTCTGCAGCACGAATTCGATCCCCAGCCGGCCAGGGAGCAACCCACATGGCGCAGCAGACCTCTCCTGTCTTGCCCGCTGCTCCCCTCAGCACTGTATTTCAGTCAGTCTGCCTGTTCTGTTCCACACTCTGTCTCTGGTGAATCCTCTCACCCCCCGCATCTCTGGCCTGTACCCCAGCTCTTGTATGCATAAATAAATCTTTAAAAATAAAATAAAATAAAATGCTTGCCCTTATTCATAAGCCCCCCAAAACTCTTCTAAGGGATTACTTTTGCTGCCTTCTCTCAACCTCTGTATGGTTTAGTCACAACTATTAAAACAAGTGGGGGATCAAGGGTAAGGAAGGAAATGGCACATTCATAGCTTTAGAAAGAGTGTAGAAAAGTGTTGTGATCTTCTAAACACGAGACCTGTGTTGTAAAGAATGGTCATATCAAATAAAAGTGATATTTTGTGTGGGAAAAATATCATTTTTCAATTATTTGACATTTAATAGAGCTACTAAGTATGAACCCCACCCCCATGGCCTCTGAGAATATATAGTGATGTGAAATATATAGTCATAGAACATATAGTTTTATGAAAATACAGGTTTACTCAAACATCATTCTTCTGTCAGCACTTCAATGAAAATATATTCTTATATTTGGGTAGCTATTCATAACTTACTTGCGCTTTCGATCTGAAATAACTCACAGTGTAAAAGCAAAATTTATTAAAACTGCATACAGAACACTCTTATGAAAGGCATGAAAAATAATAGGTAACTGATGTGTAAACTTATCTATCTTTAACCTGGTGACTGGGGAATACTGCTGCAAGTAATAGGTTCAAACCTTCTAAATTGATAGCAAATGCTGGATATACATATATTCTATAAACTATCTTCACATTTGGGTATCAACACATCAGGTCCTAAGTTTGCAAAAGTACTAATGAACAAATGAATTATTTAATATAAAAAAATCAGCTTAAATTGTTAAAGGTTACATTAATAGAAGAATCTACCTTTCCATTTCACTCCAATAAGAGAATCAGTAAATAAAATAGAGATAGGAGGTTGGCTTTCTTGAAAACCACACTAGTTGGCTGATGGTAGGTGTGGTTTACGTAACATTCATCTGAGGAAGTGTGAATCTATTTCCCTAAATCATGCAGTGCTGTAAGTCAATGTTACTTCAATTTAAAAAATAATAACGGAATAAAATAAAACCACACTATTAGGAATAAGCAGGCACCCAACGCTTAGGATTCCTGTCACCTCCCACAATTTGCAGCATTAAAAATGACTAACTATGTGCCAGATACTATGTTTCAACAATTCACACACATTATCTCATTTAATATTCAAGCAATTCTATGAAGAACAAAAAATTGAGGCTCAGAGAGTTGAAGCAGCATGTTTAAACTCACAGAGCCAGTGGTGGCAAAGTGGAATTTGGAACCAACCAGGGTCTGTTAATTCCAACACCTGTGCTTTCACTGTCCTCCAAGACTCACTTTAAGCTACAGTCTCAGAAACAGGTATTCTGCCTCAAAGAACACTTGAGGAGGGCCTATGTTTACTAAGAGGAGAAAACTGCAAATAACATTAGAAGACAAAGAGCTTACTAATCATTGTGCTCTTTGCAGAACATAACAAAATACAAATATTAAATATAAAATAAATAAATGTGAATATAATTGTTAAATAAGGTATCATGCTAGAGTACAAATAACTCATCCAAGTTCTAGAATAATTTATAATATCAAAACATTAGCAAAATATATTACCTTATATTTCTTCTGGAAATTAAAGGAAGCAAGCAATAATTTTAGTAAGACAACTTAGTACTCAGGGAGTGGCCACAAGGGTTCCATTAAGAATGCAGTTTGAGAACCATTAATTTCATTTTTGTCTCAAACTTACTTTCTGAGTTTTCAATGGGAAACACTCCCAAAACTTTTCAACTCACCCACCTTTCCAGTTAGTAGACCAGAGCAGACTACTAGTTTCTAGACGTGGTAGTCAATAATTATGTAAGCCTATAATGCTTACTTATAGGGCAGAAATGACCTTAAAAAAACCTTACATCACCACTTTGATTACTATTAGTCTAATCATAATTCCCATTGGATCAACTATTGTCAAAAATAATTAAGCATAATTCCTAATTACTTACTCTTACCAGCTTAAAAAAAGTCAAGTTCACAGTGAGTGAGTACACGTTATTTACATGACTTACCTCAAAGTTGTTTTATGTCACGTAATTTGCAAAGCCAACTGAAAGTCTTGCCATTTTAACTTCCCACTACATGAAGTAACAAAGTATGAGGGAACCTCTTCTCCCTTTCCATTCTATTTCCATTCCCCACTTACACACTCTGTGGTTTTCTATAAATTTTCAATTTCAATTTCTTTATTGCCTTAATCTGACCTGTTTTATCTGGCTACTTTTTACCTTATTCTTTGAGACCAAGCAACCATTTTATTCCTTTCTGTTAATTACTGGACCCATCGCAAGGCTATCTCTGGGGCTGGGGGTGAGGGGGAGGAAATCCACAAAATAAGTTATCAGAAGTTTTGTGTGTGTTTTAATACTTTGTTTTATAGTTACAGTAAATAACACTCTTTGTCATGTCCATCCTACTGCAAAATTACCAGAAGATACTTTGTCTTTTCAAAGTCTCAATAGATATATTAAGGTTGTCGATCATGTTGGCACTCATTGAATTATTTTATTACCTTCTCCTTAAATGCTCATATCTAATGATAACTCATCTTACAGGTAAAATCTTATATTGGGCCTCCACAATGGTTTACACTGGAGGAGTCTCTACATAAACCACTTATCCTAGGTCATGTGACTATTATTACTAGTATCAACTCCAAAAGACAGGTTACAAAGGACAGATTTTCACCAGTGGTAAAAAAAAAAAAATAAAATTTTAGGTCATCCCCGGGTGGTGCAGGCAATTGAGTGCCACCCTCTGAAGCTGTCCACAGCCTCTGCAGTGCCGTTCGATCCCGGCCAGCCAGCGAGGGACCCACACGGCACCACAGATCTCTGTCGTGCCACTGCTCCCCTCAGCAGTGTATTCCGTCAGTCTGCCTGTTCTGTTCTCTGCTCTGTGTCTGGTGAATCCTCTCACCCTCCTGTGCATCTGGCCTGTACCCCTGTTCTTGTACAAATAAATAAAAAAATAAAAAAATAAAAATAAATCTTTTGAAAAATAAAATAAAATTTTATATGAGGGCTTCCCTGGTGGCGCAAGGGGTTAAGTCTCAGCACAATGAAGCTATGGGTACTGCTACTGCAGCACTGTTCAATCCCTGACCAGAGAGCTGCCTAACCCACATGGCATAACAGACCTCTCCTGTCTCACCCGATGCTCCCCTCAGCATTGTATTTTAGTCAATCTGCCTGTTCTGTTCCCCATTCTGTCTCTGGTGAATCCTCTCATACCCCCACACCTCTGGCATAAACCCTAGTTATTGGATGCATAAATAAAATAAATCTTTTTTTTTTTTAAAAAAGGCTAGTACTTTAAAAAAAATTTTCTATATGAAACCTCTATTCCTAATTTTTTCCACCAACTTTTACAATGACCTCAATTAGCATTACTTCTAAGAAAAATAAACAGTGCTTTAGGTAAAAGCCTGATATTACAAATGTTAACTATCTCAAAAGATCTTCCCTAGTCTGAAAATAATCTTCAAAAAAATGAAGGGTAATTTACTTGTATAAGCATTTGGCAAGCAGCAAAGTCCATCAAAGGCATTTATAGTATTTGAGCTCCTCTATTCTTCCAGTGCAGACTAGGCTGATTCAAATGCAATGGAAAGTAAGGAAATCAATGACTAAAATCATTTCTGGAGTAACTATTTTCATGTATCTATGTATTAAAGGATGAATGCCTCAAAAACGGACAGAAAAATATCTGAAACTTGGTGTATTTGCAATGTCACAACATTAACAAAAACAACAAAACCTATTTTTCAACGAAGATAATTTGTTTAAAAGAGAAAAAAATACCAGCAACAATTTCAGTCCTTAAAGGGATATGATAATCTACTATTGTACCTGAGGTTAGATTACTTCCATCCTCAACCATCCAGAATATTTACAAAAAACCAGGAAGTTAAAAAAAAAAAAATAGGAAAAAACCTTCAATTTCAGAATGTCACAAAGTCTAATGTACTTTACTCTCAATCCTATCAGAAAGAGTAAGATATTTCCCACTGGAATAAATATGACAAAATCAATTGCCACTTGAATACATTCGTCAGTTTAGGATCTGGTGATCTAGCTAAATTGCTCCTTGATACTACATCGTACTACAGAGTACATGACTTCTGTTCATGTAAAGGACTATGAAACATTAAAAAAGGCTTATATTCTGTTAAAGCAATTTTTATAAGCTTTTTCCCCTAATATTTCAAAATGGGAAAAGGTGAATGCCTCAATTATCTGGAAATTTCAGTGATATATGATACCTAAATATTCAGTATCTGTGAGACATTTCCAAATAAAGTTTTATCCTGTTCCAGAGAGCTCTCCTTCTTACTCTTCTTAGCTATTCAAGACTATTCCTTAACCCTACAGGCCATGCATAAGTCGGTCCTCTCAGTGAAGTCCCTGGAAACAACGGTAGAAAGACTAGCACAATTCTGAGGGTTCCCAGCTCCAATCATTTATTGCCACAAAGGAATATTGCACATAGCTGTGCCAGAATCTCTGATTGATCATGATAACCCTAGATCCAGATTTTATATAAAATATTCTAATTTTCTGAGAACATTCACTCACCAAACAAAAAAAATCTTTCTGGCCCAGATTTGGTACAAAGATCACACCTTTTGCAGTTTCTAAGTTAGAAAAAAATGAATCTGAACTATTTGGAAGAGAATATAACAATCCAAAGATACTGGTCAGAGGATAAAACTTGATCCTACTCAAATCTAAAAATAAATTCCTTAATTTATAACATTAAATGTTTACTTACTGACTCTTCTGCCTAACTTTATTTTCCCTCTTTTACTAAACGCATTAACAATTTTTCTCAAATAAAATGCTTTGAATTTTCTACACAAGCGAGTATTTCTCAGCAGTAGGTGATTCCTCTTTGAAAAGTACACTTCACAAATATACGCTCAAATAGTAATTTAAAAATTAAGAAATACATGTGGCAAATCACAATTAAAAAGTGAGAACCCACAGTCATGAGGTTGAAGTCACAGCAGCCTCACCTGTACTTTCATGAGCAGTCAAACATTTCATCCATTTCTTTTTCCCCAGAGAAAAGAAGCATTCAGAAGAAAAGCAGGTCAGATGATAGTCTAACTCCTCTAGCCTTTATTTACGCAAGTAACAGAATAAATGATTTTATTAGAGACTATAAAAAAATATGGGAAATACTTACCTGGACTTGAAGACTCAACAGATGGCTATGGGGGAGGAGGGGAAAAAAAAAAAGAAAAATTAGCATCTTTGGGTAGTAAATCTTTGTAAACATTACAAGTATTATTCAACTACTAATATGAAACCAAACTATATAATACGTTCTAATGTCTGAATTGCCTAAGACAAACTAAAGCTTCCCAAACTAAAACTAACTTTCTCTGGACAATATTTAAGCACAGAAAAAACCTCAAAACCCTCCTCAAATCTAGAAACAAAGACAATAATATGGGATTGATACAGATTTTAAAGGCAAATATGGATCCTGTAACATATTAAGAAATATGATTTCAGATCGTGATATTTTCTGAAATATTTTCTATCAATACAGGGGAAACTATGTACAAGGTTTGCTATCAAGCTGGTCTCTGGCTTAAAATGTGTGTGAGAGGGAAGCGGAAACTATGTAAGACATTATTTTAAATAAAAATCATATTGTAAGAAAGCAGAAGGAAAATATTAAAATGTTATTTAAGCACCAAACAGTATACCAGGTTAACTTTCTTAACAAACAACATGCTTTTAAATGATCACAGAATTAGCAACCTTTCAAGCTAGTCTAGAAAAGTTATCTTATGGAAGATCACAAAAATTCCCAATTATCATGCTCCTTCAACTGTACCACTGTAACTCTCTGAAATTTAACTACAAGTTCTCAGAAATTTTAAAGATAAACTTGTTAGTATCTTGTTTGAGTTAATATTACCACTTAACAGTTTGTGGCTGTTCTTCCTCAGCCCACAATAATAAGCAAGTTACAAATTCCTATAAGACAAATTTAACAACAAAACTTCAAAAGATGCTCGCCATTGACACAAACTTTTATAACTAAAATTTTGCCTATTCACTCGGAGCTATCTATATTTCATATCCACTAGTGCTTTCCTGAAAGCACTAGGAAAGAGTAAAACTTCTAAGATTTTTCTTCTTTCTGCTCAACTAAGGGGCAGAGAGAATAGGAACAAATCAGAAATGGAAAAATGACTAGTTTTTCAAAGCTAAACATTTGAGACAAGTTTTTATAAGGTGCTTAAAAACTCCCATTCTCAATATTGTCCACATTTATGTCACTGTAATTCTAGATTCCAAAAAATAACTTAGTTCTTTTGAGGCACATTTTTCAAGTGTTCCATTTTTTTTTCCCCCTTTTAATTCTTTTAAGAGTATGCTTCTTGCCTGCAGCATTCTTATTCTAACAAAAGAATGATGGTACTCAAGAGTTACATATTTTCAAGGGTCACACTGCTATCTATATTTAAGATAATCTGACGAACAAAGTCAACACAGCACTACATTTTAATTCAGATTTTCTAATGGGAAGCTGGAGAGTGGTATGGAGAGAATAATGTAATCATAAAATGGGTTTCTAACTTGTTTAACATCTTTTGGACACAGCAACACATCTCTGACTCAAAATGGATTTAACTACCACACAAATTATTATACAGCAAATCAACACCTCAACATATTAGCCCATATTTCATGAACTCATACTTCATTTCCCAAGTTTAAGCACAACTTGTCTAAAGCTACAGAATGTTAATGACTATTTACATCTGGTCCTAGGTTCGATAACCACAAAGTAGCCTTATAATAGTATTTTTCCTTTCCTGTACACTTTTGACACAGGTTTGTATGGTATAAACAAGGGGGGAAAAAAGCATTTTTTCAAATTAGGAGCTAAAAGAAGTGGCTTTTATCATTTAGTTCTTTTTGAACATTTCAATAATTATTCTATTTAACAGTCTTCTGATAAAAAGGTTTTTGATTAAAAATAAGTTATTCTACTAAAGAATAAAAGGCACATTTTTCACTAATGTTAAGTATTGACAATAATAGATATTGAATTGTGAATCACATCTGTATATACTCTGGTAGGCAGTAAATGATCTCAAACAGCACTAAATACCATTTAAAGACTGTACTGAGTGTGTTCTTTTACTGGTAAATAGCTATCACTATAAAGTTCTGAAAAAGGTCCCAAATACTTCCCTTTTATTAAGATGTCAAATGTTTAGAGGACTGGTAGCATTTTTAAGTATAGCTGGCACAAAGCAGAAAACCCAGTGCTTAAAGATATCATTAATTGTCTTATCACATCAGACATACTAGAATGTTTCAAGAACCATGATTTGACTGATAGTATATTTAGATTAGAATGGGGTGGGGGGCCTGGGGATAGCCTGTCCACAGATACACCTTTGGCATTCCAAGTTCAAAATAAAATTCCACTGAATCAATATGGAGAGGGATGGAGTGAGATCAGTTTCTTGAAAGTTAATCATATCCAATTAGATTAAAGTTTCTGGAAAATGTCATTTATTTGAAAACAGTTCATATAGTAAACAACACTTTGCCTGACAAAATGATTCTCTCTCAAGTAAAATATAAATTAAGTATCATAATACAGGGATTTCAGAGTGGAATGAGGGCATTTTTAAATTTATGTATTTAAGAGAATAGCAGAATGAGTTTACATTTATATTATTAATTTTAAATGCATAGTGACTTGATGATAATCAGAACCTAGCAATATTACCTGCCACACCTATCTCATTTTATAGATTACCAAACTCAGGAGATAAAGTGCCTTGATCATGTTTCCATGGTAGGTGGTAAAGGTAGAAATGAAGTCTGGGACCTGATTCCTTCTATAGCCCTGAGGGAAACAACTACGTAAAAGAAATTTTCTCTTTACTTCTCTCTTCCTTCCCTCTTAGTTTGTCTTTCTTTAAAAAATGGTTTTCATGTGTTCCAAGGATGTTTAAACTGTGACTACAAGCTCTCAGTCAAGACAGACAATAATCTATATCTAACAATACCCTCTAAGAAAATCTGCAACATCTACCATTTATTACCTACAGTAAATTAGAAAGGGGGAAGAAAGGAAAAATAAAAAGAAACTTAAGCAGGTACTCATGTGAAACAATATTTTTAGAAAAGCTCAAATGATGTTCGGCATAAAAAAGATTTTACACTGGGAATTAAACCTATGTAAAATGTACTCATACATTACTGGTAGAAATATTAGTTGGTTTAACCATTCCGGATTATCACTTTGCCAACATAAATTTACCCTACAGATAAACCTAAAGAAGCACACAGAGATACATGTCTAACATTCACTAACACAAAATTGTTCACAGCAAAAAGTTGGGAAAAAATCCGAGTCTGTCATTTAACTAGTAGTCAGAACTGAAATACTTCTTCCAAGCAATGGAACACTATTAAATCCATTAAAAAGAGTGAGATCTGGGGCCTCCCTCGTGGCGCAGGTGGTTGAGCGCAGGACGCAGCACTGTGTGTCCGCAGCCTCTGCACTGCGGGCTCAATCCCTGCTGGCCAAGGAGATCTGAGGAGATCTGGCGTGGCAGACCTCTCCTGTCTCGCCCACTGCTCCCCTCAGCAGTGTATTTCAGTCAATCTGCCTGTTCTGTTCCCAACTCTGTCTCTGGTGAATCCTCTCACCCTCCCGCACATTTGGCCTGTACCCCGGTTCTTGTATAAATAAATTAATTAATTTAAAAAATAAACAAAAATCTGTTAGCAGTTACCTGTAGGAGAGGAAGAAAGACAAGACAGGTATTAGAGGACATCACAAACATAACAAAGAATGCATCCTTGTAGAGCAGCTAAAAGGTGCCAAGAGAAGAAGAAGGGGTGTTGGAAAAGGGGCAGTTAAGTCCATTATAAAGGTGAGGGGTTGGCAGAAGAGGAGGAGGATCACCAGGATCTGTTGTGTGCATTAAATAAACAAAACAGAACCGTAATTATCTCCAGGGAATGGGTTAGGGAAATTTTTACCATTCTGTACATTTGGAAATTTCTAACCACTTGCAAGTATTACTCTGTTTCTTGAAGAAAGTGAATAGAGATTATTGTGTAGAATTAGACACCATTTTAATTTTCTTTCTATACTTTTAAATTTTTCTTAAAAACCTAGCACTTATTATTTTTTTTTAAAAAACCTACAATTTTGAAAAATTACCCAGTTTTCATTTAGGTATGTGCATAATTGGTTTACTGGAGATAGAAAGCATTATCCTGGATAGACAAGACAGAGAGTTACAGTAGGCTAAGGCAAGTTTAAAAATTAACTGCTAGCTTTATAGCAACTTTTATATCTTCAAGTGATTTGGTTAATAAAGTTGCTATAGCTGTAACAAATAGGCAATATCTCTGATTTGTTTAATGGGTTTTTTTTTTTGTATTTTTCTAGAACATGGTGAGAAATAGTCCATATACCAGAAAACAATAAATCAGAAAAGTAAAAGATCAACTAACTAGAATACTATCATTATTTTTAAAAGTCAGTAAAAACATGCTGTAACCATTAGACTTCTATTGAAGGTAATCAAAAGCATATTTTTAGGGCGTATAACCAAACTAAATGTTCCTCTCAAATCACTGGCATCATTTCTATAAGTGTTATCATCACTAATAGATACTAAACCAGAAATTTAAACGGGGATGTGGCTAGAAGTCAGGAAGGAGACAGGGGTGCTACTCCAGGATGAAGAATGGGAGACTGTGCCAAGAGCGCACCATCCCTCTTCTCCATACAAAATTAAATCTCTTAACTTCGCTGTTACCCTGAGGAATTCTAGGGCATAAAAAAAGATTAAGAGCTTAAATTAGCAAATTTACTACAGTAATAATAATGTAGAGAATGCACTGCTATTATTAACAACTAGGAACTCAGAAGTTCAGGTTCCAGTAGTAATTGTGGCAGACTGACTGTATGACCTAGGACAAATTTCATAAACTCTGCTCAGTTTCATTTTCTCTATGATGAAAAAATTCAGTTATCTTCAAGTTTAGTTCAATTTCCTTTGAGAGCTAAATTTTCGACTTTTATTATGTATTATTGCAAAAGACATCAGAGTACCAAGGAGTACTTAGCAAATGGATGTTATATGTTTAAGACACTTCCAATATTTTTTTTTTTTTAAATATAGGACTATTAGGAAAAGATGATCTCAATTTA